CTGCCATTTGTACATGATATACTTTCTTTTTTGTTGTTCAATTACATTGTGCTCCGCAATATGCTGTCTCTTACGTTTCAGTAACTTTGAAAAAACTGGGCATAGGACGCCGTGGACGTTTTAATATTTTTTTTTTAAATAAATAACGCACACACTCACCATAGCCCCGCACTAGGGAAACCCTGTGTCGCGGGTGCCATGGACACACACATAGACAACCACAAATTACACCCAAACTCACGAGAGAAACAAATGTAAGCCATACAAACATTTCTCCCGGCCCGGGAATCGAACCTGGGACCTCTGCGTGGCAGTCCGGCATGGTAACCGTTCGGCCACGGAGGCACTATTGTTATACACAATATTGTTATACATTTCGATCGCAAAAGCTTCTACGTTAAAGTAAATGAAGTTAGAATAAATGAAAAGAACAAAGTTTCTAAAAACTGTTTCAATTTATTATAATTTATGGAAAACTAAGTGGTATAAAGAAGAATTCGAATTCTTGAACGTACCATCATCTCTGAAAGTTAATATAGGTTCTGTTGTTATTATTGTTGCTGTGGTTATGTATTTTAGTCAGTAATATTGATTATTATTAGGATAAAGTAGATTCAGCCGTGGTAGCCTAATAATGGTTTCAAGTAGAGGCAGTGGGGTCGAATTTGGGCTCGCATCTTTGAATTCCTCGGAATCTATGTGCGAAGTTTAACTTCAAATTTATCATGAGTTTTTCGAGGACGGAAAACATCGTGATGTAACCTAATAAATAAATAAGTATTAGATAACATCACATACGTTGCTCTGATCCCAAAGTAGCGAAAGCACTTGTGTTATGGAAATCGGAAACAAATGATACCACAAACACCCAGAGAGACAATATAGAAAAGTTAGTTTTCTACACAGACCCAAAGTCAAAGTCAAAGATCATTTATTCCATAAGTAAAATAGATTTACACTTGAAAACGTCACAATACATTACATTAAGCTACTGCTCGTTCACTACGCTGACTTCCCTGAGAAGAACAAGCAAGAAACGCTAGGGATTGCTCTTTTAAAATAAACTTAAATGCTATGGAATACATTTTGAATCAAATTTGTGTGAATTCATGAGCCGTGTCGTCTTTCCATACATCTTTATCTAACACGTAGTCTTCAAGTTTGTTATATGATTTTTCAATAAAAATATTTTTAATGTAGTTTTTAAACTTAGGAAATGATAAACTTAATATATGCTCCGGAGTCTTATTGTAAAAACGTATACAGTTCCCCATAAAAGAGTCGTTTACCTTGGTTAAACGAAATCGTGGTACCATGAGTTTGAACTTAGCTCTAAGGTTAATATTATGGATATCTTCTTTCTTATTGAAATTATGTATATTTTTAAATATTTTTTTATTTATTTGAGTAAATGTACTGTGATGCCACAGTCATGATACCAGTATCTTTAAACTTTTCTCTGAGAGAAACCCGAGAGCCTAGACGGTACACAGAACGAATTGCTCGTATTTGCAATACAAATATAGTTTGAATATCTGCCACTTTTCCACACATGAGAATCCCGTAGGCCATTATACTATGGAAGTAACTAAAGTAAACTAATCTAGCTGTACTAACATCGGTAAGCTCACGTATTCTGCGGACTGCGTATGCAGCGAAGCTTAATCTGAAGATATATGTGGAAACCATTGAAGTTTACTATCTAAGGTCACTCCCAAGAAGACTGCTTTTTAACAAGGTCTAACTTTTCTCCGTTTATTTCTATGTTTGGACTAGTCGATTTTACGTTAGGTAATTCAAATTTAACACATTTTCTCTTCTTGGCATTAAGTAATAAATTGTTAGCATTGATCCAATAAACTATCTTAGAGAGGGTATCATAAATATGGTCATAGTTAATGTCATGTCTGTCTGTTTTAAAAATCAAGGATGTGTCATCAGCAAACAATACTATTTCGCAATGATCCTTAACAAATAATGGCAGATCATTAATATAAATCAGAAATAAGAAAGGTCCAAGTATTGAGCCCTGCGGAACGACCCATTTTTACCGGAGAACAGTTCAACGAGACAAGTTCCGACGCCTTGCCATTTACACCGTAATGTTCCAGCTTCCTAATAAGAGTAATATGGTCAACACAATCAAATGCCTTTGAGAGGTCACAGAAAACACCAACAGCGTTCTGGGACCTTTCCCAAAAAAACCTTTCCCGGCTGGTGATCGAACACGGGACCTCGGAAATGGCGACACCAAGAAAACCGCGTGGCAGACTATGGCCTAATCCCTCGGCTAAAATAAAACCCGTGCCCAGCAGTGGGACCTACAAAAGGGTTGATAATGTGATGTGTAAAGTAGCTAGGTACAGACAGAAAAGGTATTCCAACCAAATTACTCAAACTAATTTTAACCGGCTTTATCTCATCGATTACCATAAATCCGATATTCGATTCTATACCCGAGATATTAACGAAACTAAATCTCTTACCATCTAATTCGCCATTATTTGATGAAACGATTAAACTTCAAATCGTGATATCGAGAATTTGTGGAAATTTTAGACACGAGAGTAATGTAATCTCTTTCAACTTTTGATGTTCCCAATTTGTCAGTTGTTAGACATTTTGGGCTTCGTTTTCCGCACGTTATGTAAACTTCAGACCAAAACAATCACTTCTTCATAGTACAATGATTAAAACCATGTCTGTACTATCGTACCCGTACGTATAATAAACCCATATGTGGTCATACATCAAAAGTGCTTTACTAAAAGTCTTAAAAATAATTCGAAATACATGAAACAAATTATGTATCTATATGCGAAATTTCGTAACTCTCGTATCGATAATTCCAATGAACACTACGCCATCTTTATTTTTTGGTCGTCTTCTGTTATTTTTCTAAACAGCTACATTTATTTATTTGTAGGACGCTCCTTACATTTTGTAAAAAAAACGAAACAAAAAGCAAAAATCGAGAAAAACAAAAACCCGAAAAATTTTCCCGTGCTAAGACGGTTCATTTTGCTTGGGTCGAGCGGCAGGGATACTGGCTTTATTTCACTTTTTTTTTTAAATATATATCGTATATTATACGTGTTCTGCTTAGTTCAGTTGATATAAAAAAAATCATTGGTATATGTAAATTACCTACTGAATACACCGGTTTTCTTGTAAAATTTCGAGGTAACTTTGTGTTTTTTTTTCTATCGTGAAAATCTTTAGCAATCGTGGTTTCACACTATATAGTAATCAGTATTATAATATCCTCAATTTTACTATACATTTTTTCCAAAGTTATTGATTCTACACTTTCATTTTTTGTTATGCTGAATCAACCAAAGTCATTTGACGTAGTCATCGACTATGTAACCAGAAATAGAGAGGAAATAAGGGCCTTATATTCCTGGTAACACATTAGCGATACAGCTCTTATAAATATCAACTCTCGTTTGCACTGAAATATAGACAGGTCTACTACTGACCTGTGTATACGTCTCTGTACATTTGAAAAATATTCTGTATTTATTGTAACAAAGATAATATCTCTAACAATGCCGTGCAGATCTATTCGGTGGTGTGGAAAAAACTGCAAAACATCTAATTACAAAACAAACGGAATCACATTTCATCGGTAATTAAATATGTAATTTTGCAATTTTCGTCCATTATAGCAAAGCTCAAGTTAACTGGTCGATTTGAAGTGAAACAGTTGACGACACCCGTCAATTGTTTCGAACTCGGGCTGGCCAATCGGAGCGCAATTGTCACGGTAATGATATGGCAGAATAGTTTTCAAACAAATTAAATGACATTTCGTCTCTATTTTTGGTTATATACTCGATGGAGGTAGTATATACTCTTAACTGAAAGTACTTTCGTCGCTAGGTGATGGGTTTTTATCAACTAATTAAACCTAGTGCGGTATCTAAAATAGGTAATGTTATTATTGCAATTATATTGCAATTGTGATAAAGCTCTCGAAAGTCGAGAGAGAAAGTATCGCAATAATCCCATTCGCATATTATGTATATATGCGAATGGGATTATTGCTATACTATTCGAACTGGATAGAGCGCTTTTGATGCTGATTATTACAGTTAAAATAATTGTGCATATTACTAAGAGTAGTGTAGAATACACAAATTGTCGGGGATAGTGCAATTAGGGGTAACTAGAAATGGATTATGAGTTTCCATTTCGGTAATTTAGTGGCCAAATGAAATCCGCTTAACCGTCGTGGCAAGAAATTAGCACGATTTAGAATTTATTATTATCAGTCCGTATACAACACAAATTAATGCTCACTGTGCAAAAATGAAAGCTGTAGCCATTGAAATTGAAAATTTGGTTTAGTGCAGATACGCGACTTTTACCAATACGCAAATTTGAACTCTCCCCGACGATATGTAATATTTTTTCTGTATAATTTTCCTTTTTTTTCTTTTTCATCTCTGTACAGGACTTTTCTTGTACAACAACCATTTGTAAATACAAAAGGGGTAAAGAAATAGTAGTTTCTAAATACAAATTTAGAGATTCAAGTAAACATTTTCATTTCGTCTACTTCAGCAATGAAATTACTATAATCAATATATTTTGAACTTTAATTATAGTTTATAAAATTATTTACATGTTCAAATGTTATTATTGTTATTGTTTCACGAAAATTAACACCAAAAATCTTTTTACTCAATTCACTAACACATTACGTTGTCTTAATGTTAGCAATGTTAAACCAATCTATTAAGCAAGAACTATATGTATCGTACTTTTCTCATGAAACCAATCAATCAATTAGGACGTGACATTGTCAGTAAAAAATATATAATGTATTGCGCGTTAGTTGTCCAATTAGGTTGCTTCACATTTTAACAAAGCATAACCAGCTTAAATAGCACCTTTTGCTCAGGTGTTTGCGAATAATAACTAGGTTTTTAAATTTTCCAGATAAATTGTTCAATTCGAAACCCATGGGTAAGCGATATGTTGTGGGTACTCACAAGAGTCAACCGGAGCGATGTCGGGTCCATCATGTGGGGCCAGCATTTTCATCGTGATGGCTCCAGGGAGGACGCTACTCGAAACCGACACTTTGCTGCCTTTACTTCACTTTTGCACCTAGAAAACTTCTTTTATTTTTCCAGCTCCTTAATAAAACACGGTTTTCCGACAGACGAACAGCCTGTTGTCTGTTGCACTATCGATTAGATTCTGTTCAACGCATGCGTAGACTAATTTATTTCTCACCCGCATGCGTTTTGGAGTGAGCGCCATTTTGAACCGGATGTACGTCATGTGACAGTTATCAGTCAGAAATTCCGTCTTTGTAATAAATATAATGTCCAATATTAAGTTACTTCCTTGAAAAATATTACTTTATATACTAAATCCAAAGAATATAGTAATTATAAAGTTATTTGTAAAGATATTTTAAGGACAAATTAATACTTCGTAACTAATTACGACGAATAGACAGAAGAGACACAGAGTGCAACAGGCAGCCTTATTGCTAACCAGCGACCTTTTTCAGGCAGTTCTTAATTGTAAACCTTTTATTCCCTTCCTCTTTATCGACATTTTTTTTTTATTTGTACATATAGCAAAACAAAACCTTATAATTAATTACAATCTAGCCTTTTTACAAGACTAACAAGTAAGTTTAATTTAACATAATTTTCTAAAATAAATGTAACAAGAAATTGTACATCGACAAATATATTTTAACATTAGTTAATGGGAAGACACTTCGTTCTTGTGTTCATAGTCTTATCAACACTGGCACTAATATTTATTTTATTCACTATAAAATAACTACTACTCAAAAGGTTTAGTTCACAGACCATATATTTTTTTTCTTCCGTGGTTTAGTTCTTTGTAGTCTACGCACTATATTTGTATTGTCAAGTAGCTGTATAACCTCTATGTTCACGTGATGATAAAGTCTATGTTTGTGAGCTTCGGTGTACTTTTTATCACTTTATCTACCGGCTCTACATCGCGATGCAGATCCTCATTTCGCATATACCAAGGAACACCCACTACTGTCCTCAGTATTTTATTTTGGAAGCGTTGTATTTATTATCTGTATGTTGCTTTTAGCGGCACAGCCCCAGACTTGGATACCATAGGTCCACACTGGCATAAGGCCCTGTTTATACAATAATATTTTATAGCACACAGATAGCGAAAAGCATTTGCCAAATAGCAAATACATTTTCTTGAAACATATGTTAACTTTTTCTTTTTTCTTCTTGATGTGAGCTTTCCAGCGTAGCTTCACGTCGAGGGTCACACCAAGATATTTTATCGACATATAAGGGTAAATAACAAAAGCAATACACATTCCGGTTGTTATAAATTAATTTTATTGAAAATCGTAAATAAATTTACATAAAATATTAATAAATATAACATCACGTATCTTGTGTTGTGTTGTGTGTGGCAGCAAGGCTGTGCGTGTGTTGTTATTGAGGTGTTGTGTATGTGTAGTATGGGGATGGAGTGCTTAATAGCCAGCCAGCTCGGCGAAGGTGGAGTCCATCTCGTCGGCCAAACTCTTGTACCTGTCCTTGTTGATGCCCAGCTCGTCTGTGAAATACATTATATAAATTAAATAATCAAATTTGGTAACAGCCTCAGAACAGTGCAAAGATGTTTAAAGTGCTATGAAACCTTTCTCTAAGTAAAGTGAACCTAGTAAATCAATAAACAAAAATGCACTTTACCAAGTAATATAAAAAATACTGTTCATTAAAGGATGTTCTCATCTTTTTGTAGAACTTAAAACATCTTCTTATTAATTAATTTGCATTTTCAACAGTCAGGGATCACACATCGTGGAAAGATATTATATGAAAACAATAGTTGGGGTAAACAACCTATCTACGTTACAAACATGAATTGATATTAATCTAATTAACAAAATCATATACCATATACATACATGTTCAAATTTAAACTTCACATTATTTAGGAAAATGAAAGATAGGCAGCCTTATTTACTAAAAAAGAAAACGTTCACTCGAATCATAATGCGTATCAACACAATGTAAACAATAAGAGAAATCGAGGAAAGGGTAATCTGTAAATGTTAAGTATAGTATTTATTCATGTAAATTATTAATAATAAAATAATTATAGCAGAAGCACAGCTTTATGGTGTTTTATACAGGAAAATTTATATGTTTAGAAGACAAAATAGTACCTTCGAAGCATTGATCCGACTCGGTAGCAGAAAAGCGAAAAGACTGTTAATCACAACGAGAAAAGCAGGGCCTAAGTACTATGCAGTTTTTGCAAAAAGACATAACAATTGCATTGAGTATTGCGTAAATTTTACTATGCAAACAAAACACTAGAACTCATAGATGTGTCATTACTTATGTATAGGTTAGGTGTACATTATGTTCTACGAATAATACCAAATATTAATTACTAAACAAATGAAGGTAATGTTTATTGTAATTAGAATGTTTCACTACAATGGAATCTGTGACTCAAAAATATACAATGCAATTGTAGAGTTAATCAATATATAGTTCAAAAGTAAATTATCGTTTTAAAGAACTTCTTCAAATTTCTTTTCATAGTGTACTCGATGTTTCTTTCCAAACAGTAAAATAAAAGTTAATCATGAACCGTCTGATTGCATAAACTGAATGGTTTCTAAACAATTGCCAGCGAATGCTTTAGAAGTAAGAGTGTCTACAACTCTAATGGAAGTGACAATCCCTTAAACATCTAAGGGTTAGGATTGGTTAGTTAAATCGGAGAATTTTAAGATCTACTAGGGGGCACGGGAGGATTTTTTGTAACTTATGATATTCACATAACCCATTGAAGGTAAATAGTGAAATTTATCTAAAATAAAACTCTACATAACTTTAATCTCTCCATATGAGTAGAAAATATTGATTACCACATTTGTTACGGAGTCTGAACTATTTTGATTCATAGATTAACAAAGTTTAGCGTAATTTGACAGTGATAATCGAGTTTGAAACTATCTACATTAGTTGGTTATACAACCATCGTTTAACACGTACGTTACGGAATCCAGCAATATAAAAAAGATAATTTCGCTTAAAATGCTTTGGGGTTTTTGGGTCTTCTAAATAGTAGTAATAAAGTGTGGTAGGGTATTTTTTATCCACATTATTTTGTATGTTGGATGGAGGACTAAACGGACGGTATTATCTTAATCTAGCAACTAGGACGGTTAGTATCCTGTCAGTTCGGCGAATGTGCCGTCCAGGTCATCGCATATCGCCTTGTATTTCTCCTTCTCGTTGAACAATGAGTCTGCAAAATTTGTTATTTTGTTAATCACTTAATCTAAATTAGCCTATAAATATAAGTTATGAAGTGGTTGCTCAAATTAGAGAAAATACTCCGTCCTATCGCAATGGTTGTATAATGTGTTTTGTTTATGGTTTACTGGTAATCAAAAAAGCATAAGAAATAACTCTAGAGATATAATTTTTAGAAAGAAATCGGCACTTTCTAATAGAACAACCAGTTCTTTAATTCAAAATTTTCATATAAAGAAGCTTTGCCATTTTTAAGGAAGTCATATCATTCCCTTTCATGTTATGTCTTGCGATCATTATTTTTAAATTAAAAGCTTTATTTATGTAAATAGCTGAAAATCGTGGAAATGTCTGCAAATTTAAAGCGAATATGAACATAATCTTGAATTACTAATTCACCATTACAATTTCAATTAAAGACGTGTTTCAAACATAGTTCATAAACCGTAGTTAAAAAAATTCAATTTTCAACACATTTATTAGTATGTTTCAAGTTATATTTACTTGCAGCAAAATTTTATACAATCCACATTCAATAAATCATCAACTTTAATTCTCAAATTTGCAGACATTTCAACCATCACCCATCTTTTAATCCACCAAAAACAAAACTCCCGAAATGTAATAAACGCACCTTCGAGCCTGTCGACCTCCTTCTGCAGTTTCTTGACGGTCTTCTCAGCGAACTCGGCACGGGCCTCAGCCTCCTTTAGTTTGCTGGTAAGGGTCTTCAGTTGCTTCTTGAACTCCTCGACGCGCTGGTTTGCCTTCTCCTCTGATACTTCCAGAGATTTCAGGGAGTTACCTACGACCTATGTGAGAGATAAAGTTTGGACTGATATTAATTACGTTAGCTAGACTTGGATTTGAATTAAGAATCAAAAAATCATTCTCTTATGTGCTATTTTCTTTGTAAAATGATTAGGAAATATTAGTACACTCCAGCGTCTTCAGAAGTGCCTAATCCTTTATGAAAACCAACATTAGAAATATATTTTGAAAATCACGTTACCTTCAATTCTTCTTCAAGTTCTGAGATCTTGGCATCACCAGACTTGACACGGTCCTCAGCGACTTCGAGTTCGTCTTCAACGAAGGCCAGCTTGCGTGAAACCTGTACATCAACAATATCTTCTTATTCAAGAAATAGTTTTAGACTTGGGTATATAAATAGAATTTATGTAATGTGATTTTGGACCTTACAATTTTATTACTTATTTTTGGTTACGGATTACGTCTCTGCCATTTTATAACTTGAGCTATTCGAATCCCTATAACGGCCAGTATCATTTCTAAGCTACATACATTTGTAAATGTTAAGTAACATTACCTCTCTCTAACAGTGAAGGAATACATCGTGCATGTTAAAGGCTCACCCTTGGAAAGCGTCTGAAGTCCCCTAACCGCCTTAGGCGAAGGTGGCTAATGTGGTTTAGTCCGTCTTTTTAGAGACTAATGTCTAGCAGTGAGACGTAAGTTAAAGATGATGATGATGATGATAACCGACAAAATAGAATAGACAAAACATGATAGATTTATTAGTGTGATAAAGTGACATTATAAAGATTTCACCAAAATACGGTACTACTACTTTATGAATTAAAATGTACAGAATTTTCTATGCGAATATGTAAATTTTCGCATAGCAATCGACACCACTCAAGGCGAAAATGAGTGGTTTTTACTTTTAAACGTTACTCTAGTCAAAATAAACGAATATATATAAAAATTATAGAACCAAAATAAATAAATGTAACACCTGTGTATACGCTTCTATAATGAGATTCTAAATGATATTCAAAATTTGTCATTTACGAGGTTTAAAACTATAGTGAAACAAAAGCATTATACTAAAGGTTATTTATACAGCTTCTGCGTACTTGGATGACAAAAATCCGTAGTAGTGGGTCACTACCATGTTTAGCTCTTTCAGGTAGTCGCTATCTAAGATGTTTAAATTAAATATTGTAATGATAAATGTATTCAAATGTAAACAAAGAGCAACCCCTAGTTTCATGCTCATTATTCTCAGGGGAACGTTAACTACGAATGAGGTTGAAATAAAGATTATTTGACTTTGACTTTGACCTATTATTAAAAATAAATTTTAAAAATCTTTTATAGGTACCTACTTTATTTTCGCTCTCCTTTAAAATTACTCGAAAAATAACTTGAGCGGTACTGTTTGCTAAGAGACGACATAGTAGTTTATCATTTTCACCTCATCAGACTTGCCGTCGGCGTCCTCAGCCAAGAGACGGGCCTCCTTCAGCTGGTTGGTAAGCTGGTCCATACGCTCCTCATCCTGCTGTGCTCTGTTTTCCAATACCTTGCACATACTGCAAACACAGATTTTTATTAGAGATATAGCATATGTACTTAATTCAATATGTACAACGTACTAAAAAAATACAAGGACAGAGTAACACGTGGGGCATAACAGATTTCAGTAAAGATTTTTGTGAATGATGGATGACAGGCTGTTTATAAATCTCAGGGTCGTATTCCAGAACTCTACTCAATGCTCAAGTCAGGATTTGAGCAAACTTGAGTATGATTTCAAGCACTGGAAATACGACCCTAATGGCAAGGACTTGAGTATGATATTTTCAGTGATCACTGCAATACTCAAATCCTGACTTGAGCATTGAGTAGAGTTCTAGAATACGACCCTCAGTGTCAAGTCTAACATAAGCAAGGACTACATAAACATAAATAAATATTAGACAACATTACATATGTTGCTCTGACCCCAAAGCAAGTAACTAAAGCACTCGTGTTATGGAAATCGGAAACAACGACGGTACCACAAACACTCAGATCCGAGATAATATAGAAAAGTTAGTTTTCTACATCGACGCGGCCAGAGGATCGAACCCGGGACCTCAGAGTTGGCGACAACATGAAAACCGATGTGCATGCAACTCGACCACGGATGTCGTCAAAGAAATAAAAGCAACATCAATAACTATATTTACCTACAGAAATTGCATGTACGACCGTACATATATATTACTAAGACTTTTTTAATTTTGTTTAATGGAACGTGTCCGGATCGAAGCCTATGCGTATGCCTATTATGTTGATAATTATGTATTGATATAATTATAAATAGTTTTGATACATATATCTTGGTCCTTACCGGTTGTTCTCGTCAGCGGACTGCTGAGCTTCGAGAAGTTTCTGCTGGGCAGTGCCTGACCTCTCTTCGGACTTCTCGAGGTCCTCCTCAATCTGCTGCACTTTCCTGTTGAGCGCGGCCACCTCAGCCTCCGTCGCTGTAAGGGTCTTCTCCTTCTCTTCGAGGTCCTTGTTGGCTTGTTCGAGGGCAGCCTTGGTGCGGATATTGTCCTCTTCCACCTGTGCCAGCTTCTTCTGGAGCTCACGGACTTCTTCATTGACCTAAGTGTAGAATAAAATATTTGGATCAATAATGCAATTACGCACAAACTCACGGGAGACATAAATGTAGGTCATAAAAATATTGCTCCCGGCCCAGGAATCGAACACGGGACCTATTCGTAGCAGACCAGCATGGTAACCGTTCGACCACAGAGACGATTAAAATCGTTAACCTCCAGTAGGTTGAGGAATTTACGTTTTCGCCATCATTTTAAACGGTGACATAAACCGACAAAGTAAAATTATGACATCGGTCGGTATGTCCGTTTTCGTTAATATCGTATTTAATTTTATATCTATGTATATACCGTAACTTATTTATGCCTTCCTTTAATCTAAAAATAAAAAAAAGACAGTAATTAAGATGACAGACAAGTTTTCTTACAATGTAAAAGAAATACAATGTAAAGAGCCAGACATCGAAACTCCGGTTTTTCTTTTTGATTCAGTTCTTTACCTTCTCGGCACGGAGGTTGGCATCTCTAGCCTGCTGTTCGCATGTGTCTGCCTTGTCCATGGCATTGTCCTTCTCCAGCTTCATCGCCTGCATCTTCTTCTTGATCGCGTCCATGGTGGCGACTTTGTGTTTTCACTTTTCGGTTAGAAAAATACGCCAGTTACGGCCTGAAAATCAAAGTTTAGTTTTTAACACTGACTTTATTTTATAAATCTTTCAAAGGGCAAATGACCCAAGCTTGTTTCCGAGATGTTCCTTTGACAGAAAATTCAGTTGATTATAGATTATTATGAAAATGTTATTAGAATACGAGTATCTACGCAAATATTCTATATTGAAGTTCTATTTGATTGCGGAAAAGCACTTGAATCTATCCTTTTAAAGAGATACGTCTGTGGTAAGCTGTAGATCTCTATGGATAATATAACTTGATTCCAATGGGTAACATTAATAATCCATGTTAGCAGTATAGAATAGTTAGTTACAAGTCGTGTAATTCGTCTGGTGTGCGGCTATTGTCGGTAGCGATACCGTAATTAATCCTGATCTGATAATAAAGTGTATCCAGCCTAACTGTAGCCTCTTGCTGGAACTATGCTAGCGTAATTTTTTACTGCTTTTTAATTTGCATTCAATTTGAGTTTATATTTATCGCATTAATACTAAGATGTCAATAGCTCGTTAATTTAACATTAAATAAATTTATCTTCTTTCCACTTTTATTCAAATTATCATATTTCATGTTTAATCGTGAAAATTTGTTAAAATTTCTGCCGCTTTCTTTCTTTAGAAGCATGAATAAATGAAACTTTAAAAAGCCGATTCACAAGTTTGTGTAATCACGTGTATTTGCAAATAGTATTGAAATCGGTTAATGGAATGTGGTTGAAATCTAATAAACCCGATTCATCGCAAATTTGGGGTAATTTGCAAACCACAGATGTAAAATATTAAATAGTAGGTACCACTACTGAGGTGGCCCCTTTCCAACAAAAAAAGGATCATCAGAGTATCCCGTAACATACACAAAAAATACAATCGAATTGATCAATGTTCTCGAGGACCTCCTACTCCTAGTCTTTTTTCAAAAATATATATAACTACATTAAACATATTTCAAAAATATCAAGATATTTCTAATTATTTATTTAAAAAGACTTGTTAATATAAACAACGTTACGTCTTCTCCAGAAATGAAATAAGCGATGGCATCAGCTTGGCATTTAAATAGCAGAGTGGAGGCGTATGTTTACCCGCAAACAGTGTATACCAATCGTAATGCTAGCCAATCGTCGACGACTTCAAAAACGGTACTAACAAAAAAGAATAGTCATAAAAGCAATCATAATGTTTTGATACTATGAAAAACATTATATGAAGAATCCAGAACATCCGAGGTTAATAAAACTCCAGAAAGATGTTCTATACTCCTTTAGTTTGACAAGAATAATAAGAATATTGTAGATGTTTATTGGCGTAGAACTTACATGAATGAAAAACTAGTGTAAATCTTCAAATTGAACTACGATTTTCGTAGACCTAGTGCGACGAAGCAAAAGCTACGTAGCACTATTCAAATAACTCTCCATTATGCTTGCACTCGTTAAGACAAGGTCACTCGCATTCATTGAGCTGATAGCGACTACTCGCTTTTTGCAGCTCTTACCTCATGTACGAGGCCTTATTTAAAGAAGAACATTCTATCTCTGCAATATTACGAATATTAATTACTTAGGTAACTAATATTCGTAATATTGCAAAGATCTATCTACATACAAATATATACATATTTCCGATTGTGTGCCTAAGTACACAGGAGATATGGATACCCTAGGAATTGTAATCCATTACAGTAGATAAGAGCAACATCAATAATTGGGTAATTTTCAGGTTAGTTTCTGTACCTAATTTTGGTGGCAATTCTTGTTGCCACCATTGAATTGAATCATTGAACCAACTGAACACTTACGTATTTGTAAAATAAAATATCTAAACCGAAAAACGTTTCACCATTATCAAAAAAGGGTTTTCCAAATTTAAGGGATCGACAAAACAAATAAAATAAATCGAGTTCTTAGGTTTTCGCGATTGGTTCATTGGAAATGAAACTATTTTTTCGGATGTAAATCGCGTAAATTCTTTTTGAAACAAGATTTCGAGTCCTTTACCTATATCAACGCTGACTCGATACGAGATTTAAATCCGAAGAAATTGTTTCATTTCCTTAACAAAATAAAATATTCGAATAGGTAAATTAACTCAGCTACGAACATAACAGCTGAATTCGTAAATTAATACAAATTAATTATAAAACCATAAAAACTTCGAAAAAAACTTTACATATCCAATAAAAATTCACGTACAGCTAACATAATGCTTACGCGAAAATAACGCCCAGTGACGCGAAGATATTTCTGGCATGCCGTCAAATGTTACCGATATTGTTAACCCAACCGAAATAACCATTTGCTAACAGCTGTTACATTTCACCAACTTATCTTTGCTGGTGGACAAATTCAGAACTATCGTTTTACTCAAAGAATCCCCCAATCACAACGCCTCCATTTTGATATTTCGTTGTAACTAGAACTTGGCGTACTTTCCAACCCGATCCAATGTTGCATATTAAACAACTCGGAGAATTATTGCCAATATTCTCTATGATTAAATGCCTAGCCGAGGATTTGATTGGTAGAAGTTTGTTTAAAATCAATTTTAAGTTACCGTCAAGTTTTCTAATAAGCTACGCGTGAGGAAATATTCATAGTTATTATTTAACACTCTTATTTTATTTTTTCACATTTTCAAATCACATTTAGTAAAACGGAAAACACAACAAAAGGTACTGCTTATTTTTAAAGGAAATTTCTTCCCGCAGACCAACATACAGGACACAAAAATTACAATAAAAGGTTTACGTGCACATAAATTTCGTAATAAAATAATGAAAAAAAAAACAATAGCAAAAATATTAAATTACTACGGAATTAATAAATACTTAGGTAAATACATATTTCATATTATAATATCTATACAATGGTTATATTATGTTGTCGTAAAGCGAACTATATGTATGCTTACATATAGTTTGCTTTAAAAAAAATAGTCACCTTTATTTAAGTTTTTCCTACACCATCAAACCGTTTGATTCATCTCTTTCTACTCTCATTCCAAAGTTATTATTAACGATTGACTCAACTCTAGTTTGACATATACAATATGTATTTTACATTAAGAAAGTATTTACCTTAAAATTTATACAGTTGAGTTGTATTTCATCTAATTGTGCTAACTTGCGTAAGATGATAGACCAATCATCTAACGTAAGAGGTCCAATAAATGTCCGAAATTACTCTGAAATACCGACAAAAAGTTTCTTCTTACTTATCTAAACAGAAAATATCTGATAAATTGTATATTTTACAAATGTAAATTAAAGCAACGACTAGAGGTAAAGATTAATGCCTGTTAAATTCTACTTTTCACTTTATTACAAGTAAAAATAGTTCAAAGTAATAAATATCGTACGTCATCGGAAAGCGCTCGCTGTTGTAACAAAATGCTTTCGAACACTTCACACGCGCTGCAAGCTTGAATGCATGCCAATCGCACAACCATTCGCTTACCGCAAGTTACCTGGTAGCTACTTGTTAAAAAATTACGAACTTCAGTATTATGCAAACCCTACACAAATAGAGTCAAATCTGCCTGCTAGAGTTTCAGATAAGTTCTTTTTGTAGGCCCTTGTAGGCATTATCTATCTCTATCTAAGAGTATTCAATGTGTTTTTAAACTTACTTTTTTTTATTACGTTTACTTAAATTAACTACTTTTAAGTAGGTATGTGCTCTAGAGCATATTAGCTGTAATGTTATGCTATCTTCCAATCAATGCAATAGTACTCAAAAATGTGAATTTGTTTCATGAATTTGATATTTTATGTCGAAGAATGTGATCGTGCGGAGTGAATCAGAATGCGTCCTAATTATATGATAAATGGGGCACGACTATGTCTAAATAAAAATGAGAGCAGTTTCCTCATCTTGCTAAATAAATACTGATGTTCGGGCATGCCGCAAATAGGTTACACGCAGCGATTCGGGCGGTTGGAGGGTGCGGCGCGGGCGCGGGCGGCACGTCACTATTTTCAGCGAGGTTGCGCGCGCGCTGAAATTTGAGTCACATCTTCGGAAAGCGCGAACACGATACCCGCATCACGAACATTCCCTCCAAGAATATCCTTTTACGTACGGCTAACATCCGAAGGTGTATTTAACACATATCCAACTGAACTTTCAAGAACATCTCGGAAAACTATTAAGAAAAGCACAGAACGAAATCACATAATAGTTGCGAATCCAGAAGCTTGGATACTCCACACTTCACAAGTTCACTGCACAGAATCCGACACTGGGGGTCAGGTCGTGGGCTGGTGAGGGTCCGGAGTATCCAGGCCTGGGTGCGCGGGCTCACCTCACGAGCGGGCTCTTCACACGGCGGAGCGACACGCACTGCGCGCGCCCGCCCTCACGGTATCTCCGCGCGCCCGCCAGACTATTTTCGGTGCCAAAAATCCAGGATTCCAATCCGACACCGTAATCGCGACAGACTTGCCATCACACTCCCGCGCGCGATTCATACTATTGTTGCTGGTGGCCTCTGATAATAGATACACCTTGAGGACCCTCGATGCTCTGATACCCGTAACTTACCCTGGGATTTTTACATTCAACGTGGAAAGCTCAATTAAGACTACTAAAAATTAAAAAAATTCCTAATCTATTCCATTAACAAAATTCAACCCTTTTCAAACTATTTTCAGATTAACCGGTTGGTATCTGAATCAATAGATCGTTGCACTGCGTTGCTGTCAATGTCGACTAAATAAAAATAAATAAGTATAGTCTTACCCTAGTCTGCCAAATGACTCGTTGCAGATTTTCCAATCCCTCAGTAAGCTCATCCGGTGTCCGATCCCATCCTATATTTAGCGTAACGCTCCATTCAAACGGTCAGCTTTCATCGCAAATAGCTATTAAGGCACAGGAAACAATAAACATTATAAGTTAAAGTGTAAAATAAATTGACCGTGACTCAGCTACTTAATAATATCTTCGGAACCTTATTGAATAACTACACCGTGTATTTATTATAGTGTCACACGATCTATCTCGCGTTTCGGTTTGAAATTGTGTTTTTCCTTGTTTTTTCGTAGCCGTAGGATATCTAAATCACATATGTAAAACAAATATACGCGATTTATATCCGAGAAAAATAATTTCATTTCGACAAGTTTTTGTAGTACTCAAATTTCAAAATTAAAAAGTGACGGGGAACACTTTGATCTCACTTTTGCAGCACTAAGTAAAGTTCGAAAAACAATGCCGACTATGAATTCTTCAAAGCTTTAAAGTTGGCGTAATAACAAATAGTCTTTAAAAAAATAGTCGTAAAAAATAGTCTTGTCGAAAATTTGATAGCAGTATATCAAAATAAAAAACTTACATAAGGTCCTATTATTAGGCGATATCCTTTAAAATAGGCAGGCTCCGTAGATACATAGTCGGAAATATAAAAAAATTCCGTGATTTTTAACTTACCAATACCTACCCGTGACCTACTAAGTTTTTAGTTTTGTTTGTAAGTATTATCTTCTTGTCCATAGAAATAAAATTGTTTCTCGAAACCTTTGTACAAAAGTCCGATTCGTGTATCATGTCGTAGTCCAACTGCGGGACGCAGACTTATTCTATGCTAAGGTAAAAGTTACAAATACCAATAAGCTTGTTAGATGCGGAATTGGAACGTTTTTGAACTTTTGTCGCTACCATTACCGACAAAAGTTCATTTTCTCGAGCAGTTGTTCTTCGTTTTCCTTTTTTTTCGTAGATATACTTTTATGCTTAGAATATATAATAGTAACGCATAGAAACCTAGTCGGCACACGCTAAGTGAGGCAAATTGTAGGTACCCAAACAGGCTTACACGAGCGGGCGGGTCGTCAGTGCTCAAAGTCAACTTGCAACTTTCTAGAATTTTAGCTACAAATCATGCGCGGTGATGTACGGTAAATGAGTGTAAAAATACGTCAAACAAACATAAAATAGATACCAACATCACATTCCACAAGGAAGTAAGGCGTTTCAACTTGTATTTTTACGTAAATATTCACAAAAACAGAAAATTAATTTCGTTGCAACAAGATACGAAAATGTTGCAACGTAACGGATTTTTTTCTCCCCATTTTGCTATTGTTTCAAAAAAATTATACATAGAGCGCACTATAAGTTTCCGGAACTGGCCACCTACATAAACAATATGTAAAAAGTAATTACAACTTTTGAAAATGGAACTCTATGGCTGTAGAATACAGTTTGTTTCATCTGTCTGCCACTTGCGGAGTCATTTTAGAAATTGATTCTCTACATCACCATGGATTTAACTCGTGAAAATTTTCGTAGCATGATTTTCTACGACTTTAAGGGTAAGTTAACAGCTCAGTGGAGCTTTCCTCGGCTTCAAAATGCTTTTGGCAATGAAGCGCCATGTAAGGCGACTACTTATGTTGAGTGTGAGCGTTATTATTATATTATTATAGCTGATTTGCAGAATTCAAACGCGGTCGTGTGATGTGTGATCTCATTGACGAATTTCAAGATGGTCTCCCGTCCACTGCTGTGAACAACAAAAACATCGATACTGTGCGCCGTATGATCAAAACAAACAAGCATGTAACGTACCATGAGATTCAATGAGTCAAATACAATCAATACTACATAAACATTTGGGTGTGAAAAAGCTGTGCTCTCGGTGGATCCCACACAATTTGACTGAGGCTCAAAAAACGGATAGCGTCACTTGGTGCAATGCCATGCGTACCAGATTCAACGAAGAGGCGTCAAATTTGGTGTGGGACATAGTAACAAGTGACGAAACATGGATTTATAGTTATGATCCCAAAACAAAGCAGCAATCGAGTGTATGGGTCTTTCGAAATGAACCGAAACCAACCAAAATGGCGCGCATGCAAAGTGCCTCTAAGCGGATAATTGCTTCTTTTTTTAATAAAACTGTACACGTGGCTACTGTTGCTTTGGAGAATCGTTGTACCGTGGATAGTGATTGGTACACGACCATTTGTTTGCCGGAAGTTCGTACAAACTCCGTAAAAATAACTGTAAACACCGTATCATCTTGCACCACATTAATAATGCCAGTTCTCACACGAATAAATTTTTGAAGATGAACAACGTTGACCTTATGAGCCAACCCGCGTACAGTCCCGACCTGGCACCTTGTGACTTTTATTTATTTCCAAAAATTAAGAACCAGTTACGCAGTCAACGATTTTCATAATCTGAAGAGGCTGTCGAAGAGTATGAAAATATGTTTCAGAGATTGTCACAGAGGAGTGGCATAAATGTTTTCAAAATTGGTTTATTCGTATGAAAAAGTGCTTTAACGCTAACGGAGACTACTTTGAGAAACAATAAATTCATTTCTGACCATTTATAGTATTTTTTTGTTATTCATTCCGGTAGCTTATTGTGCGCACCACGTATTACGTAATTTTTTGAGAATAGGCAATATCGCGACGGTTGCAGAATTTCTACAAATGTACATCGTCGCGACAACATTGTAGGGAATTTAGGTTAGCTATTTTTACGGAATATATTTATTATTTGCCTTCATTATTTTTATGTGAATCATTATTCATCAAATCATTATTCTTGTTCATCATACAGGACCCATTTTAAAAAGTTTTTAACTAATTATTTCAGGGAACTAACAATGACTAAAAAAGTCATCGTCAGTTCTCCCAAAGTACCTAGTGTATACATAACTTTCATGTTCAGGTTTTTTATTGTTATCATGTGTTTATCCACAGATAATATCAAGCTAGTTATACAGGGGGTCCTAAAACTCAACGATAACCTGAGAACAGACTGTTGCCTAGTTTGTAACAACCCAGAAAAAAAAAATTGAAAAAATCAGAGTCATGGTTTTTTTGTGATATAAGCATTTTAATGAAAAATGTTGAAAATGTACGACCTGTACGCCATTTTTAAGTACTACAATTACAAATTTGCTAATTTTGCGGTAACCTAAATAGCTCACCTAATGAACACAATGCAAAAGAAAAGCCGAATTGCTAAAGTTTCATCACAAAAAGTAATGTATTTAATTTTTTCTTGAAATTTTTAGCAGATTTTTTTTCGAGGTAATTTTGACACCCCATACTGTAAAAAATATGTACCTAAGAACGGGGTGACCACAAAATTGCACGTCTTCCAGTAGATCTGATACCCTGTTCTTCAGATTTGAACCCCCTAAACTTTTTTACAGGGGTTGTCTCAAATAAAAAAAGTTTATGCAAAACCGATATCAAACGTTGCCGAATTACGACGAAGAATCACGGAAGCTGTACAACAGATAAATTTACGACGATATGCACGATTGGTGAAAAGGTCATTTTTAAGGCGTTGCCGTGCATGTATTGATGCCGGTGCAAACAGACAGTTTGAGCGCTTGTTGTAGTCTGTAATAAAATTATAATAATTTATTCATTACTTTTATTTAAATTCCTATATCTGTGTCGAGAAATGTGAAATTTTGAGACTGTTTGCCTCACTCAATCATGCTTACCATTATTACCAGTCAGTCTAACTCCGACCACATGGATATGAAACCTAAATTAACCTTAGAGGCACTGAAAGCCATTTTCACTTAGAAAGGGTAACCTATTAAAATTGGCCTCTTTTTAGAAAAATCAAGATAATTTTTTTTCAAGAAGCATGACGAGAAGGTTTTATACAATTTTAGAATCTTGATTAGTTGCGCAAACTTTTCTAAGGCGTTGCCATGGTAGTTTAGGTACATATTTTTTACAGTATGGGGTGTCAAAGTTACCTTGAATAAAAAAGTGTTAAAAATTAAGTACATTATATTTTTGTGCTGAAACTTTAGCAATTAGGGTTTTCCTTGGCATTATGTTCATTAGCTGGGCTATTTAGGTTACCGTTACAAAAAGTAGAACAGCAAAATTACCAAATTGGTAATTGTAGTACTTAAAAATGGTGTATAGATCGTACATTTTCAACATTTTTCATTAAAATGTTTAAATAAATAAATAAAATATCACAAAAAATATGACTCAAATTTTATAATTTTTTTTTTTCGGGGTCGTTACAATTCAGGCAATATCCTGTTCTCAGGCTATCGTTGAGTTTTGGAACACCCTGTATATCCAAATTTTCATGAATTAAAGTCAAATTCGATAGTCGCACTTAAACTTGCTTTTAAGGTTTTGTTCATATATGAATTAAATAAAAATTGGGTAGTATTTATTAACTTAATATTGAGTTAAGCAATTTACAGTTTCCCCGCTTACTTATTATTTGTATATTTGTGTGCGTGCCGAGGAGCGTAAATACAGGTTGCTTATGCCTACATGAATTTAATTTTTGCCTCACTAGTGACAGTTCGTTTGATATGAAACTATCCTTCTATGCCATTGACCTACCAATAAATTCTACGAGTTATTGTTCTAAGCTTTTATGTACATACTTGGTATACGTAATATAATTACTTTTTTGTTCTCTTTCCAGCGATCAAGCAATTGGAGACACATCACTCCATTCCGAGAACCATCTTGGCTACATTAAAAGTATGTAATATTTTAGAAACCATGATATACATACATGTGTATTACTGTTTATAAAAGCGCCCGTGGTTAATGACTCGTAATTCTTCCAAAACAATGAGTATGATGAATTTAGGAAATGAAACAAAATAGTTTTTTAGAAATTTATATTTTATTAGAATCGAACAGTTTTTAAAGCACTTCATACACTTAATTGATGGTTAAAAAAGCTGATCCTAAATTAACAGTCAAAGGTTATTACAGCTGAATAGCAAAATGGGAAGTAGGATGTTAAAATACTATTTTATACCTGATTACATGTTAATTACGTAGAAAACCTATGGCTAAAATTACACACAAAGTACAAAAGTTTTCAAAAGTATGCTTCTTACTGTAGTATGGACCTACAGAATATAGTGCCTTAAAATCGAAACAAAACTCGTTTTTTTTATTCATAAGACTGTTCAAATTAATGTATATTTTTCAAAGTACATATTTTAAAATTGATTTAAGCAAGTCGGCAGTGTTTTATTCCGGCGTAACGAGCCTAATAAATAGCTAACCAATGAAAAGTCATTAACATATTCGGTGATCTTTCGTTAATTGATATATTTCTAAGAACTACGATTTTTTGTTGAAATCAGTCGGCTCAGTATCCAAATATCTATCTCCTATACATCAGATTTTTACAGCTCAATAACATCAAATATATTTATTAAAAGCACGTCCTGTTAATTTAAATTAAAAACTAGTATCAAAAATTATTATTTTGTAAAATGTTACAATCCATTCCAAACTCTGTTCTTAATAACAGTTTTCATTAATCATAAAATATCGTACGTTGCTACAATTTTGACTGGACATTCAAAAACGTGTACTTTAATACATAATTAACAAATTGCAGCATTTTTACTACATTCTTATTATATATTAGTAGTGTGAAAAAGTTGTTGCTTTTGTGCTAGTAAATATTGGACATTTTTCCAGTTTGAAATAACAATTACAGAAGAAAATTGTACTGGAAAACAGTTTAAGATGACATTATTTAAACACATTAAAATATTGTGAAAGTAAAAGAATTGTCGACAAAATAAGTAACTTTCCACGTAATTTAAAGCTTAGAAATGTTTGTCATGTGCACGGCAAACAATAATGAAGCAAATACCCAGCTCACCACAGGCTCACTGCAGTTCTTGTCGTAAAATGGCGAAGCATGCCACCCAAAATGGTTGTCTAGTAGCCTGACAGATCCGCAAATGTTTGGTCCACTTCTTCTGCGATGGCTTTGTACTTACTGCGCTCTTCCACCACCTCGTCTGTTCAGGGGGTTAGTAGTTAGTAAGGTAAGTATGTTAGTTTTGTTATATGATATGACAAATACTCCTATTATTAATTGATAGAACTGAGACGTTGAGATTAACAGCAGTTAAAAATAATAAAATGTAGATTTCTTCGTTTAAATGATGTCCAGTAAACAACGCAACATATTTAAAACGGTACAGGACATCTACATTTTAAATTAACAGCAACTACATCTCAAATGGAAGTAACTACCTATAATCCAAAATAAGAATGAGCGATTCAAAAGGTCATCCATTTTCAAAGTTCAATAATATAATTTTGGCTTTCCATAAAAAAAGTCAATTGACTGAATGTAAATAAGTCAAAAATTTATGTTGCGAATTCTAAAGAATTAATGAATGAATGACAACTGTTCTGAATATGTCGCAATTTTCAAGGGATATTCTGTATTGCTGTTTATACTCGTATGTAAATATCTGAGTTTCCAGCGTAACATAAATAACGAATTGTAGTTACCATGCATGTTTTAACTACATAGCGTCGCGTCATGCATTATGCAACAAGCCGTGCCATTTCATATAAAGTTTATAGAATACTCTTTTAACATAATTAGTATGAGTGACAAAGAAGTGAGCACAACCATTAGTGGCTATAAAAATCTAGGTTTACTCAACATTTTTATTGGTAGTATATAGCGAGTGGTGTGGTTGTTTGCACATACTAAAACAATTTCACGAGAATTCTGAACTCATTCTGAAACGATGATAAATAAATACGACTTGCCACATGAAATATTAAACTGAATAAAATAGTAAAAGAAGCAATATAAAGCTGTACTTACATAATAAATGCGTTGTAAACATACTCCAAGCTAAAATCTAGTCTACAATCTATAGATTACCAAATAAGACTAAATAGAAGCGACTAGTATCCAGCAAGGGAAAAGTATATAGGTTGTTTAGAGTCCATAGAGAGAGAGCATGGTGTCTAGTACACGCATCGATTTAATACTCAAATTGGTATGATATACGATTATTTCAAAAAACCCATTGATTTTTTTCTTTTCATACATTCTAACTCACGGCAAACCCCGAAATACCTCATATTCTAAGTTAGGGCGAAATTTATTTTTTAAAACTATAATAAATTGTCCATTTGACTCGTAGACACCGTGTATAGATTTTAGGCTAACTACTTAATTTTAAAAATAAGTGTAAGTACCTACGTACATACATGGGAATCTAATTACATTTACAAATCTAGCTACGTGGAAGTTGTACAGGGTCAATAACACGTCAAGCTTGACATTTAAGTTTAAATCCAACTCTATGCCGGTTGCAGATTTAAAAACAATAAATAACAAATAATTTTGTTTACAAATACCATATTCGGAAAATCCCACAAGTAACGTCTCCCCAGGAAAAAAATAACAGTCATATAAAATATGTGTAAGATATATATTTGCAAATCATCAAAAATGAAAAATGGCATATTGAACAACCTTTACAATCTATGCATTTCAACAACACGACGACGGCAGATTTCATTAAGCCGGCTACTCATTAGCGAGCTGTCTGTAACGCGACAGATACAGTAACGATTCTAGGCTGTACACATGAAACAGTCTTCAGACGGCTCACTATGAAACGCACGCGTTCCGCTCGCGGCAACACGCGACGTACACACTATGATTTTAGTTACATAATATGCGACGTTATGGTTACAGCTCGCTAGTGAGGAGTATACGGCTTTATACACGAGGACAGCATTTTGGCTAATGCGGTTTCACAGAAGACATCAACGAGTACAAAATTGTATTTATACATATATTCGATGTCATAATTCGTTGAAATTCCAACACACTGTAGTAAGTAATTGAATTATATTTTAAAGGAATCTGCTTATGAGGTAAGAAGTTAATAAAAACAAAACGTAAGTAATAAATTATTTTTATTAATATTACTCGAAAATAAATACCGCCATAAAACTATGGTTTAATACTTTAAATCAGGAGTATAAAATATACAGTAGGTAATAAATTATAATAGTTGTGAATCGCGGGCTGGTGAACATGCCTTATAAGATGCTGGAGAGAACCCAGCGGAACTGATGAACGTTTTTGTACCCCAGTAAAACCCCAATGTCCTTGAGAATGTTTATTCCTTGAGGATAAGCTCCACGAAGGCGGTGTCGAGGTCGTCTCCGATGTCCTTGTACTTCTCCTTCTCAGCGACCAGCTCGTCTGCGTATTTTTGGCAAATTTAAAACATGTGCTCTCTCAAGTACAATATCATTTCAAAAATAAATCTGTATTCCCATATTCATCCTGATATCATAAATATCGATTTCCTCCTCCAAGTCAAGTTTCGAAGCAAATTAGTTTTAGGGTAATGTAAAAGAGCACTTAAGAAAATTAATGAGGATGCTTACGCTCATGACTGTTGTTATTCCGAAGCCATGCGCCGGTGATGTTACCGAAGCTTTCATTTTTTGAAATTACATGCGGTAGGTACTTTTTTAAGACGTAGTGTCGTGAATTTTCAAGAATAAGAGTTCGCAGAATGGTACGTGTTTACTGATTTAAATGCACATGAAAAGCAGTATTAAGGCGATGTTCAGTGGCAGCAGGTGCAGCGGTCGCAAATGCGCGTTGGAAGAGTCGCGGCCTGCAGCGGCTCTTGAAGCCCCAGGTCCGTGAACGCGCAGTCCAGCTCTGCCCCGATCTCGTGGAACATCTCCTTGCCAGCGATCAGGTCGTCTGCGGAGACCCCATCGGTCACTCTTTCGCTCAGACCTCTTTTGTTAGTCGCCAAACTCACACGCATGCCATACCTCATTCAGTACAAGGATTTATGTTTAGCTCTCTAGCCCACGGTTGTATTCCATCAGCTATATTTTGTCATTTATTTATTTAGAAATAAAAAATATTTTACACTGAAACATTAATATACTAGGATACAGTAGTAACACTCGGACGCCACGAGTTTAATCTTATTTCAGATATCGCTCAAAGATATTCAAACGCATCCTACGCAATGAAAGGAATTTATATTCCGATTCCGAATTTCTGATGTAGACGACCCCGACTTAGATTTAATACCGAAACACTATTACATAGAAGTTCTCAAACTTTATGCGAATACGGTAGAACGATATAATTATTTTCTTATGACGGAGGAGCGGCTTCGACAGGCGCAGCCGGCGTAGTCTCAGCTGGTGCTGGTGCAGGAGCTTCTGCAACAGGCGCGGGGGCTGGGGCGGGCGCAGGAGCGGCGGCAGGAGCGGCTTCAGCCGGAGGCGCTGCTGCGGGAGCGGCCTCAGCCGGTGCCGCGGGGGCGGGAGCGCCCTCTGCAGGTGCAGCGGCGGGAGCAGCCGGTGCACCTTCTGCAGGAGCAGCGGGTGCAGGTGCACTTTCTGCGGGTGCTGGTGCACCCTCTACGGGTGGTGCAGCAGGAGCACCCTCAGTTGGAGGTGCGGCAGGAGCTCCCTCAACTGGTGCAGCTGGTGCGGTTCCCTCAGCCGGGGCTGCAGCGGGTGCGCCTTCCGCTGGTGGTACAGCACCCGCCACTGCAGCTGGAGCACCTTCGGCGGGAGGCGCGGCGCCTTCCGCTGCCGGAGGGGCGCCCTCAGCAGGGGGTGCAGCACCTTCCACGGGTGGGACAACTCCCTCCGCCGGTGGTGTACCCTCTGCAGGTGGGGCGCCCTCTGCCGGTGGCGCACCCTCGACGGGCGGTGCACCCTCGACGGCTGGAGCTCCCTCAGCCGGTGGTGCAGGTTCCGCGGGCGGTGCAGGTTCCGGTTCTGGCGCGGGTGGTGGTGGGGGCGTGGGCAACTTTGGCGGGTGTAAGCGCTCGTACTCTTTGCGCGCGATCTCGATCTGTTTCGACGTGGGGTCGACGCCCGGGATAAGCTCCACGAACGAGTCGTCGATGTCGTCACTGATGTCGTTGAACCTCTCCGTTTCGGCGATCAGGTCATCTGTAGCAGTCGGCGGCGATGAGCTTGTCGCTCGTTGCGCTTCGTCCGACATGCGTTAGCACCGAGACGCCATGCGTTATGGTGGACTGTGGGTGCGGGTGTCTCCTCATGCCCCATGCTGGTGGTCCGACGCCGCGGGCAATCGCGCGGGGTTCATGCGCGGAAGACATTAACACGGGGCAGACGCACCACTACATTACGGGAACTCATTCCGAGGATTCTCTTCATGCCCCGTGCTTCAATGGTGATTACTATGTACAATGCGATGAGTCAGGCATGAATTTTTGAAATGCCCGGATTCTATTAATAATTGCTCTTACGCCATTCATGGTTTTTCGTCACACGGATGAACTGTTGTAATGATAACTTCGTGTTTATAGTTTTTATAGCTGATAGAATCGATCTAAGTTAGTATTCGGACAGGACAATGAAGGGCACACGGATTAGTGAAAAGACAACAACAGACTAAAAATAATAATATATATTTATAAACACTTGTGTTAGAATACTCTTAAAATCATTAATTTATTTCTCACGAACTTATCTATCAATTTATTAATAATCGATAACATCAAAAAAGACGGATTTCCCTCGATTTATCGAAACGTTTACGCAACACAATGATTTGGAGGGCCGGAGCAGCGCGGTGCCGCCGCGGCCAGTATTCAAGAGAAAAATTGCCAGCTCATGTCAAATTCACAACATAAAGTTTAATAATTATCAAGTGATATGTATCATTGCAACGGAAAAGTAGTCATTTATTTATCGATTAATTTAAATAAATACCAACAAACTCAAATTATGACCACAAGAAAAATCATACCCGAAACAAAATAGAATATCAAATACTTCAAAGAAAGTATATTGTTATAAATATCAATATTTACGTGTTACCATCATTCATTAAATAAAAAAAATATCTAATCTCTTCTCTAATATTAAGTAGGTAAATAAAGAGTTCATAATAAATTGCAAACAGTGCGCTCTATATTGCTTGAGTGCATTATACTTGTGAAATGCACTATGCACAGTAAAAAGAATCAAACGACCATGGTACAATTACAAAATTTGTTCTGGTTGAGTGGAATCGTTTTGAAGTAAACTAAAAAACGCTGTGCAATTATAAAACAGCTCTAAGAATGCAAGAGTGTAAAATGCAATTCAATTTGGTCCCATTTTGGAATGTCGACAATATCTCTTACAACTAGAAGTGCTACAAAAAGCGAATATAGCTGCATACATCAACTCATAAATATCGACACAGTCGACGACAGACACGCTCGTAAAATAATGACTAAAACATGAGGATATACACTTCAACAGCTATATGGAAATTATTAGTAATTTGTGTATCAAATAAAAAAAATTGCACATGGCAGTGGTGTCGTAGCGAACACTCAGTTTGACGTTACATTAAAAAGCGGCTGGCAATTACTCTATACCTAGTAACATCTAAGGCGCCCGCCCGGCTTGCTTATAGCTTCGTTTAATAAATAATTAATAACTTATGGAATTACTACAAGTTAGCGTTAGGTGTTTATTCCAGACAAAATTTGAAACAACTCCTTGCCGCCAAGCCAAAAAAATTTAAAGATGACCGCCTGGTCAACGCGCGCTAGTGATGTGCAAACATATCGGACTTATCGATATCGATAAGCAAGCGGGACGAGCGTAGGGGCGAGGTGTTCACATGTTCTGGATGTCGTGGAGCGTGGCTTCCATCTCCTCTTGCAGGAGTTTGCTCTTTTCGCGCTCGGCAACCAGGTCGTCTGCAACGTGGACGCGGCCACGGTCAATCACACACAGAACATAGCGTTTGACACAAATATTTATACCGTTTGGTGACTACTTGTTAACTATTTATATATTTCGTAAATATAAATACGACACAAGTCACGTTATATATTTATCACCAAACAACAAAATATTAGAATCAAACAGCTAAGGCAAAACAACATCAATAAAAACCATGCAACAAATTCACATTGAAAAATAGTGTAAAAAAATAAGATTCGAGCATTCTAGTGGGATACGTTTAAAACATTCATGCTAACTAAAGTACAATTCAAGAATCTAGAGTTGAGTCTACTAGCTTAAACCAGAGCATATTACATACTCAAGAAGAAAATAATTAAAAGTTGCCGGTTCCATGCTAAGAGACTACAACCTAGCAGAAATTCTAAATATTAAAATCCGTCAAATAAAAACTCTAAAAACTGTTACGAATGAAAGAACGAAAAATTAAGCTCGATATTATAGCGACATGATAGAAAAAAGAAGCTTTCATTGTTTACAGCAGAAACTCAAGCCAAATATAATGACGGCCTACATGGTGTGCTTTTAATGTTGAAAGCTTTGGTTATTTCAAAACGATGTTTGTTAAACAACTTGACTTCAGAGATATTTAAAATTATTGACTTAACCAAACTGCTGTCGATATTCTGTAATAATCTGGAGTACCTTGAAAACTAGCATTAGAAATTATAATTATTGTTATGTGATTTATACTTATTTTTAATTATGACTTTCCTTGCCTACTTGGAAACTATATATTTGAGTATAAATTTTGACGAATATATAAAAATTTCGTTCTGATTTCTCTGAAACTTTACATCGAAACAATTTCGCCAAAATTCATCTCTTAATGAGTAATTTTAATTTGATATTGAGATTTTTTGTAGAATATTGACAATTACCTTCAAGCCTGTCGACCTCCTTCTGGAGTTTCTGCACGGAACGCTCGGCGAACTCAGCACGGGCTTCCGCCTGTAAATTGTTAAGAAATATTTTTAGTCTTTGAACTTGCAGGAAATCTGCCTAGTTTCTGATGTCAATACAAGTTCATTTTCCCTGTATTTGATAATGAACATTAATTACACTGTTTTGTTTCTGGGCCTGGAACTGGTTCTATACATCCTATTGAATGTTTTGTGAACACACAAACTTGATAAATCAAAATAATATCAGAAACTAGACATCTTTCATAAAAAAATGTGCTACGACATGCATTCCAATTTACTTGTTTTAGTAATTTACAAATTTATTGAACATTGAAAATTACATGTTAAAACATACATTACTTTTTAATTTGATAATAATGATTTATTTCAAAAAATAAGATTAATTTAAAACAAAAAAACTATAAAACAACAAAAGCTGTTCAAGCATGCATTTACCCTTACCAAAAGCAGCTAAGTGCCGTGCCGAGCTACAATTAAAATAACCATCACCGGTTACCCAAAGTAATAACAATTCTATGAGCATGATTTTGATAGGTTCTACCTAAAGGTGGCTCTGGTCACTTTTCAATCCCAATAATAATTTAAATTTTTGTCGATGTGTCTATATCGGATTTTTCCATCTCTTTTTTTGACAGTATATCACTTTCATAATAAATATCAAAAATAAGTTATCTTCCTTTATTGTATTAAAAGTATTAAGTAACATTATAGTACTGGTTAAAACAATCCAACAGAATGTTTAACAGATTTTGAAAAACAGTCAAAATTGATAAAAAAACTTTTCAGCAAATAGAGATCAGAGCCACCATTTTTGTGTGAGCACAACTTACTTGCGATAGTTTCTGCGAAAGGCTGTGGATCTTATCCTCGACGTGCTCGCGGGACGCCATCGCCTAGCCACACAGACTCGTTACATACAAGCCAGAAGACATGCCACACCGATGTTGTGAATGTACGCACTATATATATAATTTAGAAGGTGGATTTCAACGAAAGTAGCCTCTTGGAATCGAACGTTTAAAAGAGTTAAAATTTGATATCCGGAACAGGACGGAAAACATCAGGAAGGAGATAAGAATTAATGCAGAAGTGATTTTAATTGCTAGGAAATGGAATTGGAGCAATTTTTGAAATAGTAACTTGCAACATTTTTAGTTATGAAAATCCTGGAAGAGATAATGAACACTGGAATACGTGAAAGGGGTATACTCAGAACATTAAAAAAAATCAATCGAAAGCGTACAATCGCAACACAGGCGGAGTACATACAACATATAAATAGTTAAACAAATACATTAATACACAGTTACTGAGACAGGAGAAGGACGAAAATAGATACATAGATGAAGCACCAACCGCCGTCCGCCTCTCGGACCTAAACGGGCCTACACCAACGATAATATAGCTTCCATAATTCGTACCCTGAATTGTACAAGTACTTCTTTAACCGAAAAATGTTTAAAATTTTTGTTGGTACAATGAAGAGTACGACAACTACCCGAAACATAAAATGGCGATGAGCATGATCCGAATCTACAACCGTAACCATGTCTATCTACGACACCTTCCGCTTGTCCTTTCGGCTATCCGTTTTACCTCTTTCAGTTGGGCGTCGAGCTGTTTGACTTGACTCTCGAATGACTCTTCCCTTTGTGTCGCCTGCGATTATGGTTTGTTAACGAAAACACAAAACAACGAAAACGGAAAATTCATGCAGCATCGCACAGTGTGTATAATTTACAGGCCACTGTGAGACGCTTCGGGTAGTAACACTAAAACTAGTTATGCGAACACGTTAATAAAAAAGACATGACAGGCATAAAAATAAGATCAAAAAAGAAACGAAATATGCGAGCAAGACGCACTACGTTCCATTCCTTCTTTACCATAGCTTTTGCAAACGGTAAATCCAGTACAGAAGCTACACTAGAAGGCATGTGCGTACAATGCAGTTAACAAGCGTACGGAAACACTCGCGAAAGAACCGTTCTTGTTCGTTTCACACCTCCTTTAGACGGGTGGTGAGGGTTTTGATCTGATTTTTGTACTCCTCTTCGCGTTGGTTGGCCTGTGTGGAACGGTACACACACTTAGTATCCGAATTGTTCACACTATTAATCAAAGAGTTCATATCTTATCTTTGTTATATATCTAACACATTTTTATGTAATTACCTATGATGTTACTTTCAATAATGTCCTCGTCTTTTAAAATTGGTTGGTGCATCATATGAGTCCTACTACTTAGAAGTATCAAATGTAAAAAATATATCTTGGGAGACTTTTGACGACGTTATCATTTCGGGATCAGTAGCTTCAAATGTTTTAGCAATTTTAATTATCTTAAATCTAGCTCTTATAATAAGGATTATAAAATTCAAGGTTTATACCTTCTCCTCGGAAACTTCAAGAGACTTCAGGTTGTTACCAACAACACGGAGCTCCTCCTCAAGCTCGACGATTTTACTAGAAATAGTAAAGGGAATAATCAATTCTCACTGAAAACAAAACTCAATTTAACAATACGTTGTAGGCGTGGCCTTGCTAAGTTAACTTCACATTATACAAGTTTATTCGGAAATACTAATTATTATAAAAACGTAAAAGTTACTATTAAACCTGAAATGATGGTAGATTTTACTCATGAAAATGACATTTTTAAATTCTGCCTTTAAACTTTTATTTATCGGCCATTTTGTTTTACTACATTAGTAAATATTTGAGTATTTAAAAGTTATAGTCTTATTCGTTATTATTATAAACGAATCGTTTACATTTTTAAATTATCAAAAGGTACCTATTTAACAATAATAATGTTTACTATCAATTGACATGGAATTTTAAGGGCTCACAATTATTTTCAATCAAAGATGCCACGACCTTAATATTTGTAATTGTACGTTAAAATAAAAACTTAAAACTATGTTGTAAAAGCTCGTGCTGGTTAACTATGAATGAAAATTTAAGTATTTTAGTACGTTAAATCGTCAGATGATAATTGCTCTTTTAGTTTAGGTAAATATCTTGATGCATGAGAAGAAACTTCCAACTTTGTTTTGTATAATTGAAGAAATTTTTTTATTATATTTGGTAGGAATGTTGGGTACCTACTTTTCAGGGTAGAACCCTCAAATAATTTTTGTATTTGTGAGCAATTAACACTAACCACATGTTAAACAATAGTAAGAGAAAGTTACTTGTTACAAATTACTTATACAGGAGTTCGTCCGAATACCACTCCATTAATAAATGCTATTTACCTGCCTATCGTATTTTAGGTAAAGCATGACAGATAACAATGACTCTATGTTAGTTCACGATTTCTGTATAAAACTACATAATGTGATAGTGTTCCGCGTTGCAGTTCGAATCATGGGCAAAATAATTTACTATCATAGATACTACGTAATTTACTATCATAATCCACTAAATCTAAAACAGGAAATTTTATACATTTGGTTCATTTGCATCATGAATTAAAATAAGAGTCACTGCAATCTCCCAATACCTTTGTGTCTCTGCTCTCTGCCTGGTGTTCAACAGTAGTTTACGTGAGATATTCAAAATATCTAATTATTTTCAATAAAAAAAAGCTGCTGAATTCAGGGAGCGCAACAGATCCATACATTTAACTTTGCCAGTAAACATTTTCGAAAACAAATTTTTAAACACATTGCCGACATTAGATGTTGTGACGTGTCATAAGACATAGTCCTCTGGTAAAGTTGATAATATATAGATTGTTAATGTGTACTTACCAGTCGCTTTGTTCAGCGCGCTCCTCAGCCCGCTCGAGGTCTTGTTCCATGAGGACGAGCTTGCGCGCCACCTACCGGCCGAGCGTTAGTACTCGCACGCACACACACGACACACACTACACTACCGACCCACGCCGCTCCCGGCTTGCTACGCGGCTCCACAAACACACCATGTCTTCAAGGAAAATCCTTAACGTGCAAATTAGTGCTGTCTTTTTTCGGATTAGCAGTGCCAGCTCTGATTGGTAACTGTGCGCGTGAAGTTTACGCTCTGGAGGTGGCCTTTAAGACTATGTTTTTGTATGCAAGTGTAATTGATAGGAGGGGTGACAGTTTACATGGTAACTAATAATTTGTCAAGTCAAAATAAATTGCCAAGCTATCGGAAATAAATTATACTGCTAAGAAGTAACGTGATTTTATTTTTTTTCTCGTAAAATTAAAGAGCTTTTAATTGTGCATTTTAATATAGCGGCTTGTAAAATAGTCCACCAGGTGCTTGCTAAATGTAAATAAAAGCATAGGAATTCAGAAATATAACCAAAAGTTCACACAAAGCGGGAGTCGAGAGCGGCGTCGGTACTCACATTAATTAAAATATAAACGAGGGTTGTCCCAAAACATTTAGTTATAAAAATATTTTCTGGTTAACATTTAAAAAATATATCTCTATGTGCTATCTAGTGCATTATCGTAATCATTATGTGATGTGTGCGCCTGCATAAGTGCGACACGCATACGGCCAGTAATTCTGGTGTAATGCCGTGCAAATCTGAAAACGAAAATTGCCCTATACCACACATATTCCTGGCAAACTAACCTACAGCCACTACAAGACACGCACTTAAGGAGAAATTTAGTCGACACATGGACATGATAGTTAAACATTACTTAGAAATATCCATGAGATGGGGCAACCCTTGTTTTAGTGTACGGTAATGGCATTTATCAACACGCGCCGTTGATGAATGTCGCTAACCGTGCATCCTTAAAACTAAACAGTGTCACTGTTTCTAAGGTAGATGAAACAGCAACACTATTAATCTAATGTTATGCATGATAGAGGCAAAAAAAGTATACGCAAAGAAAAAAAAGTAGATCTCGTTCACTGCTTCCATTTCCTAAACGGCCTAGAAACGAACATGCAATACAAAAATAACAGTGAGAGCCAATGTTAGAAATACCAATAATGGAGGTAAATCGGGTTACGGTGCAGCAATGTTAAGAATGTAAATGAACAACCATGCAGAACGGCGAAAACGGCGCCTTAAGTCCGCCATCACACCACTCATAATGGAACGCTGTTTGGAATGAGAGTAGTAATTGAATGCCGCGCAGTGGATCGAATACAGTGCCGTTCTTGCTCGATTGGGTCAGCGGTCATTATTGAGTGGAAGCGATGGACGACGCAATTGAAGAGAAACCTACGATTCACCGGCTTCGGCGCGCTCCTCCGCGCGCTCCAGGTCAGCTTCAACCATGGCCAGCTTACGAGCCACCTGGAGACACCACACCACGTTACAGTAACTATACAATTAATTACGTAGATGCTCTCAAGAAATGCTTTCCATGCAAACCCTTAATCAGATAACAAATTCATGGTAAATCTTCTAACAACACAGTGTTGACTCAATAATGGCATTCGAACTTGTTGTTTGCAAATCACGTGCGCAACTTGAAACGCTCAATACATCGTCAGTATATATAACTGAGATTTCAACTGCGTATCACAAGACTTGAGCCAGTAAAGTTCATATATGGAATTAATACTTATGTAACAACATATGCGACCAAGGAGACCAGTACACCCTTATAAGGTGAACCGACCAAGATCGGACACGACTGGATTCCTTCTTGGGCGGCGATTTTTACTGTTGCCTTCACCGGCAGGGTCATGCGTCAGGGAAATTAGGCCATTAAACACCATTACCACCATCTGGTATCTATCAACATATGGCTCGATTTATTTCGTGTTGTCTAAAGCGAATACCGAGCCAAGATGGATATGATATCGCATATCTAATCTTTGAGATAAATGTTTCAAGAAATGGATTCTTCGAGTTGAATTTGAACACATTGTAAAAAAACATACTGTTTTTCGGGTATGCTGTAAATATTGGTTAGTACAAAGAACAAGCGTTGTAAAAAGATCGGAATTTCCGTTTGTTGCAAATTCTCAAAAACCATTACATTTACATGGAAACTTGTTTTTAAGTAATGCTGAATTCTTGGAAATAATCTTTTGTATTAATCTTGTGACTTATGTCACAATCACACTCGAGGATCTTATTTAAGTTTCCATAAAATCCACAAACGGTAACAATTAGTATCTGACACAAAGAGATATTTTTAACTCGAGGAAAACTGTTATGTTTTGTAAGTAGGAAAACAGGGAAGCAAACCAGATCATTTAAACAAGAAACTGGAAGTTTGTAGCCGTTTCAAAGACACGCTGATGTAGAAGTACAACACACAACATTTATAATACATATTTCGACTTGTAATAAGTTAGCAACAATACCACAAATATAACAATAATACACATCTTTTATATATTTTTAAAATCGAACATTCAAAATGAGAATAAATAATATTCTTTACATATAAAAAACGCAATTTATGTACCTACGTAAAATATAAGTTGTGTATTGTACTCCCTTTAAAAAACAAAAGCCAATCCAAACGACATCGACAATCTGTAGACCTCATCGTATTTCTTGTCGGCTTCTTCAGCGAGGAATCTGGCTTCCTTCAACTGGTTCTCCAGGGCGTCCATACGCTCTTCATCAGCCAGCGACCTGTTCTCGAGCACCTTGCGGGCACTGGACCAGGGAATACTCAACTTAAATAAATCATCAATCTCCTAATGCCGGGAGTCTCACGAAATGAAAGAGAAAAAACATTACACTAAATATTGTTTGCATGAACATAGTCGTCTCCCCAAAGATTTCTAAATTTTAATGATAATCTCTCAAATTGTGATAAGAATGGACAAATACTGCCAATCAGTATACGCGCAACACGGTCGAATATATCTTAACGTATTAAACAACCCTAACGCCTTATCTAAAACTTGTAAGGTAGACTGTAATCAAGGGTAACCCAAGAGTTAGATGACATGCATGACAATTACACAACAAACGAAAAACAAAGAAAGCGACAAACGCACTGCATCTGCACATCTAAAGTTGGAGCTGTGGAGAGAACTTATTGAAAAGAGCATCGGTTCCGTCGCGTCGTTAAGCAAACAGTAAATAGTAAAAGTACTTTCTTTCCTTGCTGAATAAATCAAACAATATTAGGTATTGTTTGTATAGACTTTTTTTATTTCAAGGAATCTCTGAATAGAACAGAAAATACCCATGCTGTTTGCAATAATAAATAAAATGTTTATAATACACACTGCAGTTATTGTTGAATATTGCGTCAGGAACAGTATAATTTCTAATTCAATAACAGTTTAATTTGATTTTGCCAAACTGTCAGCGATATTTTACAATATTCTACAACATTTCACATTAAAATACATGATAATCCAAAATATATTAATGTAATTTTTAACTGGATTATCAAGTTTTTTAATTGTAAACAATAATTTGTGTTATTATATCGACTTTCGTAATATATACCAGAATACAAGTTCGGATGCGGTAATAAGAACCAACTCGGCATTCTTGGGTTCCATTTATCAATTTAAGCATGTATTCATTAACTCAGTCTCCCCTTTACAATGATTGACTCGATATACTTGTATCAGGTATTGTTCTACGATCTCCGATACAATAACACGGCATTGAATTGTCTGGACGACCTGATTTGACGGTCACCATGGTTCTTCGATAGCCATATTAATAAAATTAAATTATAAACAAGAGACAAAAGTAGCAAATCTACTGTAGCATAACTTACAGCAGGGTTACATCGAGTGGAGAAGATTAAAAGTTCCATTATCTCAATAGTATTTCACACGCGAAAAAATTAGCAAGAGATGTCAAAATTTATTTGTCACGCAACTTGATGACGTCATATCGAGTCCCTTCACTAATAATGGCAGTTGAAAACATGGCGTCATGTTCACCTCTTCGTATTTCTTGTCAGACTCCTCAGCGATGAGCTTGGCCTGAGAGAGCTGGGCCTCCAAGATGGCAACACGGTCGTCCTCCATGTTGGTCCGGTTTTCCAGCGCCTTGCGTATTCTGGTTAGTGCGGTCAAACACATGCGGGTTACAACATCGATTAACATCGAGTTGTTACAATGATTTGTTTTGATGACAATAGATATTTTGAACTAATCATTCGCCATTGTATTAAAAAAGACTAAAATTATAAAAGAAAAATATGATGAAAGGTGAAACTGGCGAATGCTTATTTACAAAATACTATCCTAACATTACTACAAAACACAACAAATCGTTTTAGAAAACAAAAGGAAAACAACATTTAGCTGTGGGCTAGGGCCAAAAATATGGTGGTTATGGGCATAAAATTCAAACAGAAAAACGTCCATGCATTCTGTTATAGGAAAGACCTAGGCAAAAGTAATCGCCTAAATGTACGTATTGTAACGTAATTAAATCAGTGAATTTGAAGAAGCCATAGTTTTTGTTCCTATGTCACATTTAATCTACTGATAGGTCTTTAAATAAGCTGCGTTGTTAGAGGCATGTCAGTAGATTAAACAAGTTAAAGTTAAATATCTGACAAACCTGAATTCTTCAAATTGAAAATCCCCAGATTTGCCTACCTACAAGCTTATTTGCTTACCTATAAGTATATTTTTAAAAGGAATTTGTCTATTTGCTAATCACGAAACTTGGGCATAAAATAATCAATCTCAGCATCGTCTTAACGTGGTTTTGAAGGCTCAAATTCCCCAACCATAATAGTAAATAATAAAAAAATATGTGCGAATTGAGATAACACAATTATCTCATCTAATTTTTTAACCGACTAAAAAATGAGGAGGTTCTCAATTCGACTATGTATTTTTTTTTTATGTATATGTATGTTACGCGATAACTCGGACATTAATTTATGAACCGATTTTGATAATTCTTTTTTTGTTGGAAAGAGGACCTTAATAGTAGTCCCAATGACATATGAATATATGCCACCCTTAGGCAAACCCGGGTATGAATGACTTTTGAGGTCGGTTATTTGGTACTCCGTACTAAGATTATACAGGGAATATTTGAGATCCAACTCCTCGTTATGTCTATGGCCTTAGTGCGTATGTTGTGGTTCCATTTGGAGCTATCTTAACCATGTCGAACTCACCGTTCGGACTCATCGGCGGCCTGGCTGGCCTCAGCCAGTTTGGCGGTGGCAGTGGCGAGACGCTCCTCGGACCTCTCCAGGTCCTCTTCCAGCAGCTGGATGCGTCGGTTGAGGGCCGCCACTTCCGATTCGGCCTGTTCAACAAGATTTTAAAGTTGGAAAAAACAGTTTAAAGGCGTTTTAGGTCGTCTAAACTACGAAAATATTACACTATTGGAAGTTATAGTAGCAATCAATATTATTAAGATACATTTGTTTATAAGTAAAGCGTTTAATTTATACGATTATCTTAAAAGTGTATACATTGCATCATTAAAATTACCACAAAGAAATTCTTTTAAGTCGAACCTAATCTCGAGTGTACTCAATGATGTAAACAAAACATGGAATGTGTTCGTAAAATTACATTTTCAGCAAACAGTAGTGATGTGCCATGCTCGATATATAAAATCGATATTTCAAACAAATATGACTTAGAATAGGTATTCATAAAACTTCGCGAATAGGTATCTAAGATAAATAGTCAAGAAAAGAAAAATAGGCAATTGATTCAACGTCCGCATAGTGAAGCATTGTTAACATTATTTATTACGTGTCAAGAATCTGCACGCATCGCTATCAAGCGCGACGTTTTAAAATTGCAAGAGCGAGTGATGACGTCACACGTCCTTGCTCCGAGGAAGCAAGTCCCAGTTACTCTTTTTATCCTGTGTCGTCACCGCGAACTAATAATAGCGGTGATCGCGCGTTGTTTATAATAGCATGTGCAACGTTGACGATTTTTTAGTTACTAACAATTTAATAACTATAAAGCATGAAACTTGTACACCACTAAGAGTATATTTTTTGTATTTCTCAAGATACAGACATATAAATTAGGTTTTCAAAACGTTCCAAAAAATACTAAATCATTATTAATACACTATTTTGCAATGTCAGGTACTGCACAAGGTAAAATAATATTCGTAATATTTATTTACTATTTATTCTCTACCATAATAAAAAAAAGAAAAAATAATAAATACATATTATAATCAATGGTCCACTCCCAAATAATTTAAATCATAAAAACCAACCATTCTAATATCAGTAAAGCGGAATGTGTAACAATAGTAGCAAGAACCCGATCGAATACTAACGAGAGAATTATTCGTTGAAAAACACGTTTAGACGTTTTTTGTTGAGATTTGACCGAGAACCATGTGAGTAGCGTCTCGAGACATCAGCTCTAGCCACCTTGAACTCGAACGCACGTATTTCAAATTGACGGATATTTTACATCTTGCCGGTTAGGTTCAGTGACCTTTCCGAACAAGTGAATCTAAATGATTTATAGTTTCCTCTCTAAGCTTCAGTTTCCATAGTTGGCTGGTTCTGATCATAGCAACGCACCTGATTGCATAACGTTTGCGTTCCTGGTGGGGCGCATTGTTTAAAATTTATGGGATCGGTTTAGGGCATTGTGTCTATTCATACTGATTACAATGGTCCTATAACTGTATATGGCGGTCTGTAAGGGCAACTAGCAGGTACTTTACCTTAAATTTTAATAAACAGAACTCAAATGAGACCACGTTGAAAATGATTAAGTGAATCATGTTCAAGTCACATTCTTACGTTGTTTATGTTATGTGATGATTTCTAAACAAGATCACAACTAGTTCCACGTAACCACAGGCTACTGAATTAAAAAGGTAACCTATGAGGCCTATTTACAAATATTTGCTCAAAACCAGATACTACTGGATAAGCAAGGTAATCTATGAGCGGGTCAATGTTTAAGCCTGCTGCTAATGGTCTGCTTCAGTATTTCAACGACAAATAAATTGTCCCCTTTTTTGGAGTGAAATAACATCTGCACTCTGCTTGTTAAGGTAATTTCTGATTATCTGAACGTATGACTAACATGAGGATTAGCAAAAAAATCACACAACTCAATAGCGTACGACTCCACTTGTTTTCTATACCGGTTTCATAGTAAAATTTATTTATAACTGGTCGTTTTGCTGATGTCGGTAGTTTAATGTATTGTTATCTTCACGTCACGGCTCCCTTTAACAATGCAAGTAAATTTTCATCTTTGACCTCAACAATCAAGAGTTTGTACAACGTCGCGCTAGTTCCAATGTTAGTACACGCCTACAGACTCCACCGAGAGTCATAGTTACTTTTGGGCTGATACCACAATTTGAGCACCGTGAATCACCACGAAACTGTTAGTCCAACAATGTGAATACACTTATTTCTTCAATTAGTACCTAAGTATCAATTAATCACTGTTTTTAGTTCTACAATGAACTCGATGTTTGTTATCAACAGTAAGGTCGCAAAAGGCGATTGGACTTTTAGATATGCTAGTTTCTAATAGGAGCTTATTACATAGTACAATGTAGATACTTCCTCAGCATTTTTACGTCGATGATGTGTAACCGTGGAATTTTAATCAAAGCACACGTGATGTACATACCACCAAAACAATTACGACTCACGGGTGAAATCAAATGCCATAAATGAAAAGTGTCGTATAATAGGCAAATTGGTCTATCAGGATCATTTTTTCATTCAGAAGCATTTCACTCTGTGAACATTACTGTCGTGCTGGGTTACGTCATGTAGCGATAACGAGGAGCTCAGTGGACACGCCTTTCTAGCGCCAGCGGCAGTGGCGGCCTGTGTTCCTTAAGGACAAACTACAAGAATGCAACGACTTCTAAAGTATTCGAGTTCCACGATCCTTGCTCACGTCTACATGTGCTACAAAAGACCGGTACTCGACCTCAAACGCAACAAAACCTGTTACGTGTAACAGAAACCGGCACATAACCACATAGTTATGCACAGCCTCGAAGATAAAAACACAATTAACAATCGTGTCCTCAACCGGAATAGTTATCGAATTGGCATTTTACCGGAACAGCACTAATAGGTCTTGAAAAAGTATTATCATATCCAATGAAAAGAAGAATTATTTTCCGTCCCGTTCTACAAGTTTAGGGCAAGGTGAATTCGAAAGAGAAAGAAGCATGCGTACGTCGCCTGCTCACCTAAGTATGGCCGGACATTACTCACTATAGGTAGATAGTACAACTACTGATAACTCCATATTCTCAACTCTTTACGAGTTGCGACACTAATATTTACACAGAACTGAAATTTCACATGGCACAACGCGTAAACATATATCGCACGTTTCCTTACTTCTTCTCTCCGCATTATTTCCACTTGTAAACGTTTGTGATACTCCTCGCACTCATCCTTATATTTCTCCATTTCTTCTTTAGTTTGACGCATTTTCTTCTTCAACACGTCCAGGATCGTTCCTTGTTGCATATTCGTCGTCATTTTGAAGCACTTTTGTATATTCGATTAACTATAAGTTAAAAACTAGAGACACCTCCGCTGTACTCGCGAAAATGCCAACTGACTGAGCCGTTCGTGTCGCGGAGATGGGCTCGGCACGAATGAAATGAACACAGCCGGCAAATAAAATGGCCGCCACCGCCCAACCTAGACTCTGCAACTTTATCACCAGCTTTGCTGATAGCGATTACATGCAACAAACAACGATTGGTTAATAGTAACAACGATATCAATCGAATTGTGGAAATATAATTAATATTTGTTACAATCGCGCATTCCCTAACAAGTTTGACAGCAAAACCTGAGTGGTAAACGTCACTGCACAACCAACGATAGAGACGGACAATCGGAGACAAGTAGCTCCACCTGTGACGGCTCGCTCAGAACTGCCACATCGAAGGGTTCGAAGCGCGGATTCCGAATAAAAACCAAAATATGTGATGGGATGGGCGAAACGGTTGAGTGACCGTGTACAATTAAAACTACGGATGTTCACTCAATCGAAATGAAGCGAAGGGCTATATATTGTGACAGCGTACAATCATGGGAATTAACTTTAGACGGGCATTACATAGCAGGTGTGGTGTATCGCAACAAAACAAAGGTCATGTTCAAAAACGGCTCAATCACCATATCAAAACTTTCATTGAAGTTTGTTTTCTAAAAAATTGGGTCATCATGAAATATGGTGGCGACATCTAGTTTGTGTCTATTAAACAAAATTTCTCGATAAGAAATGTCAGATGAAAGACCATTGTCACTGTGCATCGAACTTCACCCAAGACCTCTTTCAAACATCTCAAATACGCATGACGTCATTTGGAAAGCATGCGCTCTACTCATTTTAATTCCGTTACGTGACCACGCAGATATAGTAAAAATTCAATGTCGATAAAACAGAACGTAGGTACAATTTAACCAAAAATAAGTGTTCTTAATGAGAGAGCAAATCGGTTTTAACGTAGCTAGGCGAACGAACCCTCATGGAAACCTATCTGATGCAAACAATTAACCTAAAGACAATTGTAACGAAATCTGCGCAGGCTTTTAATAATATAAGAGGCAACGTTTATTCTCGATCATTATTTCAGTTTTCAAGCTGAGCAAACATATTCTAAAGGACATTTTAAAAGAAAGAAGGTACTTGTATTGTTAACAGAGACAAGTATTTTCACGCAAGTTTATTTCCGAAAATTACTTTTTCAATGCAAGAATAAGAATCGTTTGTTCACAAACAAGTTACGATATTATATACGCGTAGAAAGAAATAAGATACCTAATAATAATACATATATCTTCGCTATACGAGCGGATAACTCAAATATACACATTTACACGAGTCTGCACAAAAGTGCATCGACATGACGACGAATATAAAGAACGATCACGTGTTTACGTGTTGAAAAAGAAAATACCAATTACGGTGTCTCAAGCTAGGCAATTCCCCGTAGCATAAGTACTAGACAACGAAGTTAACGGGACCTCTTCATCTAGCACCAACAATATCAACCACAAAAGCTGGGAAAAAAAATTAGTTGGATATATGTAATAATTTACATATAGTTAGTAACATATAGTTTCAGATTTATCAACGACAATGTTCATAAAAGGATCGTTGACCTCTCCCCACCATTAAACCAAACCAACAGACCAACGAATCGACATCTTGCAATTTGCTTAGTGCATGTTTCGGTTGAGTCATTTCATATAAGACTGCACAGTATACACTCATATTTTTGACTGTGTGACTAACAAGTCACATTGTAACATATGTTCAGTTTTATACGTTGTAGAACTAATACATTATTATGTTATACATTGATAAGATGCCCGACAATCACTATGGCCATATGGCGATGTCCAAAACCGATCAGAGGGTCTTAAATACTCGGTACTAATTTGTGAAAGAAATTCAATGCCTTATTTAGTCCGAGTGAACGCTTGTTATAACTTGACTATATGTACGAATATATTGCGGAAAATTATTCAGCAGTCCTCGGTGGTTGTTACTGATAAAGTGATAACAGAGTATCACTAATATCAGGTTTCTTACCACGGTATGACTTTTTTTATTTTCCCGATATTCAGTCAACCCGTGACCATGGAGCGTGCAACCGTTCCGAAATATCGGGAAAATAAAAAGAAGTCATACCGTGGTAAGAAACCTGATATTAGTGATAATCATTTAGTGAATAACCACGGAAGTCTAAAATCTATGATAACAGAGCAGTCTTCAATTATTTGAATTCAAATATAACATTATTTATTCATTCATGTGACAACACCATTATTGATTAATTTTATAATTTGAATTTAACAATAAAATTGACGAAAAGAAAATCCATTGGTTTAAAAAAAACCTGATTTCCTCTAATTAGCAAAACCGTGCTTGATACCTAAACGCTTTTGACGTGTGTAATAAATTAATAATCCAATTTGAAAACCAAAAGTTAGTTTCAAAGTTTTGAATGAATCATTGCCATGTTGTTGTTTCTAGATAATTAATACATAGTTAACTTCTCATATGCAATTTCTAAAATATTATGTAATTTTCTCAAGACAACGGTAATAAAATAATGTGTGATCGTAATTCATCTGACTTGCCCAACTGCATTGTTTCATTTAACTCGTTTTGTATTATTTAGAATTGGTATTCAACGGTCGAACGCTTACTAGTTCAATTCTAACATTCTTGTATTAATAATTAAGTTGATTGGGTAATCATAAAGTATTTGCTGATAATTCGAACGTCAAGAATTTAGACCTGTTAAATGTAATAAAGGATCGTGTAATTAAGTACATGTAGCAGTTCCCGGGCAATCTTCAAAATTCCAATTAGCTAGTTCTTTAATTAGCATTTTAGATCTCAATTTGCGCGGGACGAATTGTTTCAGTTACCGGTAGTACCGACGGAAGATGTCGATTGGGAATGTCGAATGTGGTTACTGACAACACATCACTAGTAATGTTTATACATTTTATGAATCATTTAGAAAGTTGCATTGTGCGTAACTCGGTTATCGTAATTGTACAGTGTAGTTTCATTCAACGCCTGTTTTAAAACTTTCAATCAAGTACCCGTTAAATACAAATTCGGAAAAACGTTTATCGAATCGATTTTTATTTTAAGAAAAACCTATTGAACTGTAAGTAATGGTAATTGTATATTGTATGAACAGCCACTGGATCAGTAGGTATCCAAAAAGTTGTGGTGTGGTTTACAATTTGAAACATCCCTTCCGTAATATCTGCATAATTTATTTGTAAAGTCCATACAAACCTAATGATTATTTCTCTATATTACTTTATTACATCGTTTTTATTTTATTTTATTTTTTAATACAACTCAATGTATTTGTAGTGAATTTCAATTCATCCCAGGTTTTCTCGCAGCGATATTACCTTGAGCCTTATATTCACTATTTTATAGCTTAGTCCCTTAAATAATTATTTAAAGTAGATTAACAGATAACTTTACAACACAATATGTATGTCAGGTCCGTATCATCCAAGGTTAACCTTATTTACTTTTAGGTGGATACTCCAACTATCGTAATGTCCATTTGCTCCAATCTATGTGCATCATGTTTATTGATTTATATTGAAATAAATTACTTGTACTTGGGTTTACCGTTTAAACTGTTAGGCCTTTATACGTAGGGCTATGATCACCACCACCTACCAATCGTTGACTTTAGTGACATCTAGCGGCGAATAACATAACCGTTGAAGTAAACATGTCAAACAAAACAAAATGTCAGTAGCTCAGCTGATCGCCACGCGCGAGATGTGCCTCGCACACCACATATTTTCAACCACCAAACGCGATTAAAAATAGTTCTGTGCGCATTTGGCCCACGGTTGCCACACACACATGCACGCAATAAAGTAGGACATTACCCTTTTCAACGCCGTATTCTTGATGTTCTGCAACTCATTCTTGATGATAGAGAACTTCATCATTGTGTCCGATGAGAATATCGAACTGCCAAACGCGAGACCCGGATAATCGGCGCACCTGCGCCTTCGCCGGTTTTCTCTTTCTGCTAAAACCTCAGTACATTCACTAGGACATCTAAGTTTCGCAAGTTCTGCAGTCTCGGGATCGTCATCTGATACATCAAAAGGTAAAACAGCCGTCGTCTCTGCTCCATCTCCCGCCGACCGCTCTTCTTTACTAGATATATCATCGTCCGAACTGTAACGCGATTCTGCACCCGTCAGTCTATTATCAAATTCGATTTCATCATCCAAATTCTCAAAGTCTTCGCAAATGTTTCGATTCGAAAGTGCATCGTCACTATTCGTCCTTGTCACTTTTTCAGATTCACTAACACTATTGACATAAGGCACAACATCGTTTGTTTGGGTTTGTAAGGTCACTTTTTTGGACGGATCGGAGTCTAGAGGCGCGCTGGGGGCGGGTTGACGTTCGCCCCGCAGGCGCGGGTGGTGCTGGTGCCCCCTGCGCCGAACAGGGGCGCGCCCGTGGGCGTGGGGCGCGGACATTACTAGCGGCGCAACGCGTCCGCCCGCGCGCTGGCGACCGCCATGTTCACTGACTGTTGTCGAAGAATCCTCACTGCGGCGCTGCCATCGCCGCTCCGCAGCCATGTTTTGTTTATTCCAACTGTTTTACCGATCGAACGCCTTCGCATTTGTTTACCGATGGCGGGAACATTCAAAAGTCTCGAGACTTAAACCTATTTTATAGCTTATTTTATATATTTTAAAGTTATCAAATATACGCATTTTTTTCAATTAGCGACAAAACAATGATCATGGAGGATGACGGATATTAAACGTCAATAACTTAAAAACAATTTCCAGAGTTAGTAAAACGGAACATCCCGAAGAAACGCGCGAGCCAATGAGAGTGGCAAGTGTATAACGTTTATTTTTACCGAAAGTCTGGGCAACGAGCCCATATTAGGTGGCGGGGGCCGAAAATAGAACGACGCGCGGAACGCAGCCCCCTACAGCGAAATTCCGGCAAACTATGCAATATAGTTCTAATAGGTGGGCTGCATCTGTTCCACATTGGCATGACTTAGAGATAATTAAATTAGGTGACGTTACAGTGACGTTATATCGGAATTTAAAAATGTTTGAATTGTGAGACAATGCACAATATTTAATAACAATAGCAACGTCTGTCATTCAATGTGCCAAGGTTGCGACGCGGTGCGTTCTTTTCTATCATATGAAACATAAATAATACACTCATGCAATAATATCTGCATACTCGTAACACCACAACACGTTTACATCGAAAATAGTTTCCGCTTCCTGTTAACTTGTATGTTCGTCTTTATTCACGTCATTTTGGAAATCAAAATCATTATGTTGATGCAAGTTCACCACAATATTTACTACTTCTATAAAATTAACGTAATATCCTTTTCACTCGTATAATAAGAACACTACTGCAAGCGTGTACTTTAAGCGGCTTCGTTAAAATATTCAAAATTGTAATTATATTTCTAAAATTCAAATATTGAGCTTACGTTTTGCAGCGCCTTCTCCTTCTCCTCGAGCTTGCCATTGACTTGCATGAGGGATTCCTGGGTCTGATCGAGCTCGTTCTCGATGGTCTGGATCTTTTTCTGGAGCTGTCTGGCCTCCTCCTCGGCCTACAACACAAAAACAGTAGTAAAGAATTTATAAAACTACTTTTACTTACTATTTTCCAATTACTTTCATAGCTTCAAAAAGTGACCTTTTTTAATTGTTACTTAAATGTACATACAAACGACATCAACGTAGTCGCTTTTGTAAAATAATCGCTAAGATAAATTCGTTGATGTCTTTTACTCTAAATTTCGACTAAAAACACATTGCCAGAAATTTTGAATTTGACTTGTCAAGCCAAAAATTGTAAAATAGTTCTTGTCGTAAAAAACTGTATCTAGCCGGAACATCGTTTAAATGTTATTTGTGGATTAGTACATACTTAGGAACTGTAATTCTTTGACATTGACGTATCCCAATCTCGCAACCACACCACATTCAAAATATTTACTCAAACAAGATGAAACCATCTTCGTTTATTATAATTAGGTACCCATCATTAGTCCGCTTTCGCGTGACAAAGCGAATCTATCGAGATGACGATGCAAAACAATAAAAAAATAACAAACTTGAATTTTTCTACACAACATTCACTATGACAAAACTTTCTAACAATTTTAAAATGTCATCGTTTATGTATTGGTTTGTGTACCCAAATCGTACAAAATAAATTTTAGTACTTTCTACAATAAACCAGACTAATTATTATCGTATAATAAGATTGAGGAAGTGTAGTATTTTCTGTATAGCAATTCCTCATGTCCTTGGCTAGCTGTGACCGGACGATGGCATTGCTCGTTTTAACGTATACTTACTTACTCAGACATGAGTTTCATAGGTATACTAATCATATAAGAGGAGAGCTCTTTTTCAAGTATGTAGAGGTATAAAGCAGGCCGTACCAAAGAGGTTTTTACCGTCACACCCCAGGGGTGTACATAGTTTATGCAAGTGACGTAGCTAATGAAGCAATGGACTAAGAGCGGTTACACAAGTTTGGCAGCGATGCAAGCGCGCGCCTGCACCAATCTGCATCGCTACACTTGAGTTTTATAGGCGATTGCATCGGTGCATTCGCGCGTTTGTTTCGATGAAGTCGCGCGTTTGCATCGTTGCAAAAACTGTAACTTTTGGCTTTACGCCTCAGAGCTTACTGGACCAACTGTTATACTAGAGGTCAATTGTTTAATTATTTTTGACTACAGCACCTAAGCTATATTGTGTCTAAGACCGGTAGCTTACGAAACAGTTGATTTGAATGAAGTTACTACGCTTTTCAGTTATGGCATCTCGTAATTTACAGTTGAGATGGACACAAAGTGTTGTATGTTACCTTCTCAGCGCGAAGGTTGGCGTCTTTGGCCTGCTGCTCGCACATGGCGGCACGGTCCAGGGCGTTGTCCTTCTCCAGCTTCATCGCCTGCATCTTCTTCTTGATCGCGTCCATTTTGGCGGTTTGTGTTTGTTACTCCTCTGGATGAAAAGCTACAACAATACGTCTTCGTTTTATTTTAATCTAGGTGTGGCAAGGGAGTATTATATGTAATGTTTGAGGTATATATCTCGTAGTCTTTGGCTAAATTTGAATCGAAATATATTCCAAACACCACAATCATAAAACTCCATCAATTTCTTGAATACTTTTCTAGAAATTGGTAATTTTCAGGATAGTTTTCTGTACCTAATTTCGATGGCAATTTTATTATTTAAATATTCTAGAATTTTATTACGAAATATATTAATATTCGAGTGTGGCAACCTGAAATATTATTTAATATTTCACGTATACTTGAAACTTTTTTTTAGGTTTAAGTTTAGGTTTTTTTAGGTTTTGGCGGCCACCGAGAAAACTAACCTGAAAATTACCCAATAAAATTATGTTTCATTTCTACCAGAAAGATTGGTTCCACTACAACACAAGTCACCATTAGAATGTGACACACAAAAACAATATTTGTTGAAATAATCAGCAAAGAGAAGTAAAGTGTAAACCATAATTCAAAGGCAAATAAACCCGAGCTTACGAGCTATTTATGGAACGAGGTGCATTGGTCTTAGGGTTTAGATCCTTACTTGATGTATTACTTAGTATTGTATGGAAAGTTCTAGAAGGATTGGAATGCGCTTACTCTTTATGTACGGAATTTGCAAGTAGACGTCGAGAGTGTATTAGGTGTGTACTTATAACAATGTTAAAAGTCAGTACAATAGATTTTAATTATGATAAATAAGAAATAATATACAAATAACTCATAACCGGTATCTATTTCAATACGATTCGAAGTTCAATATGTAAGAAAAAATTTTCTATTCTAAAATTACAAAAGGTAGAAAAGTACGCAGTATTCAACAAATTAGCATACAAAACAACAGCACGCCATCATTCATATTTATCGACAGAACGTAAACGAAGAGATTTATTTTTGAAACTACACGAGAAACTACAAGCGAATTCACCGGAGAATTCCTACATTTTTCTTTGATAGCTAAATATACCGGAACTGACACAGTCAGTACATTTGATTTTTTTTTCTAATTATTACGGAGGTTAAGAAACGCCAGCATTATGCTTACAGCTTTTTCAATGCTTATAATTAAGTAACTTTAAGCGTTGGAACAGTAACGCTTCACGGTAATTAGTGTAAGATTCTAAACGCTTAGGTAGTTAAAACCTGAGTTCACTTCTGAGTGGCAGAAAAATTATTACGTTTAACTGGATTGTTAAGATCAAGAATGGTGTCCGTTTGAGCGCTTGTTTTTCTAAGATAGGACCAATACCAGAAATTCTTTAATGCCTGGTAGATATGGACAAAGTAAGCGTGTAAAGTTTATTGAACTTCCTGGACTGAATCACGACTTAATAAATCTACTAAATTCGTGCTACGAAAAAACACGATCTGTTTAAAATTCGAAAACAGTACATTGTCCAACTGTCGTTCTCTTATACCGATATGTGCACTTGTCAACAAGGTCACTGGTCTCTTTAGAATGGACATACTTTTTAGGGATAGTTTAAATTCAAATGGAAATCCGACTGGCCTACTGACCCTGACGTCACTGTTGTATTCCGCAAACAAAATTAAACTGTAGGTAAATCCTTATTTTTGTATATCGGCAATTATGTTACATAAATTATCGCAATAATGCTATATCTGCAAAATGACAACTTTCAGGGAGACAAAAAGATTCTATGAATGATATAAGACGATAACTTTTTTATGCTAAAATAGGAGCGTTATAAAATTTCACATATGTGAATAGTTGGTCTCAAGGAATTCGCACTTATTATGTTTATGACTTTCATGTCGATATGAATACTACGAATACGATATGAACAATACGAATGAATGCTACGCCAACTTAATTTTTAGACCTGTTCTGTTTTTATTTTGTTGGTTTTTCTTTTTTTTGCCTAAAATTTTTTTTTTCCAATTATGTTTTTTTTTTCTTTTTTTCACAAAATCGGGGGAGCGTATTAATAAATAAATATGGCAGTTTACAAAAATAACAGAAAGAAACAGAAAATAACCAAAAAATAAAGTTGACGTAGTAGGTATAGATATCAATAATAGGAGGTATCGATCTGATAAAACCACTTTTGACCTATGAACACATGTGGCTTTATTATAAGAAGGACACGTATTTGACATAATCGACTGTGAACTGGCAACCGGTACTATCTCAATTTTGACAACTAAATATAAGTATTGGTGAAACTTAACCCTTTATTTATAAATTACATTCATTTTGTTCAGCAACCAGCAATACAGAATACATTTAAATTAATTTATATTCATATATGTTTCCTTGGACTACTTTTGTACTTACTAAATAATATAAGGATATCGATTTAATCAACTTTAAACGCAAACTGTATAGGATCCAAAATAAAACCAAAAGTCGTTGACATTTTTGCATTCACATGTATGTTGCGCTGCTGGCACATGTGAATAAAGGGATAGCATTCCTCTCAGTTGAATCATTTTGAATAACGAAGGTTTATTTTTTTCGTTTTTTAAAGCGTTTTTGAAAGTTTTAGGATTATTCGAAATGAAGAATTTTTATTCACTGTTGCTGCCATCGTTCAACTAATTCCATTTATTTCTGCTCGCTGTTGTTTTTAGAACCAGCTTTCTTATAAGCACTATATATAACAAAAAACTTCAAGATATTTAAAGCTAGTTAACAGACATTGATAAATTCTAACAATTATGTGGATAATTTTTTTATTGTCTATTTAAAATAATGAACATTGTAGTGAGATCCTTGTAATTTATTTTTTTATTTTATTTTATTGCCGTTATTTATAAATAACGAACACTAAAATAAATGAACTAAGAATTCTTATAATTCATCAAGTTTATTATTTCCTAACTATTGTATTCAACTTTACCCAATAAAAAATTCTGAAGTTAGTCCTTCCAATATAGAAATATCAATCAAAGGAACTATCATAATTATTATCGACATTCCACGGGACTCGCTTCAATTTCTTCATTTCTGTAGAGAAATAAACGTGTGATAAGAAAGTTTCATTACTCAACACTTTATTAAAACGTGACTCATTTCACTTTTATTCTGGGTTTAAAATAACTAGTAAACTTCGGTATCATGTACTCCTGTCACAGGGATCATTATTATCAAAATGTGAGAGACCATTCACTCATCTGACATTTATTTATGTTTTCATGACTAATTAGAGTTTACCCCTTGGTTTCAATCTAAATTCTTTTGAAGCGCGTCACTGAGGTATTCATTACTCACATTATTACCTCTCTTTTATGAGTGAATTATTCCGTAACAAACCTGGTAAGAATTTTATGCATTTTCTGGCGTTGTTGACAATGCGATAAATTTGTTTTGCTAGTTTTAATCAGTACCTACATTGCGAAATAAGCGTTTGAAAATATGTACCTAGTGAAAACATTCGGAAGAATAGACTAGTGCAAGCAAGCAATATCGTCGTTGTAATTATTGAGGATGCAATTTGCATTGTGCGCAAAACGGATACCTATTGTTTAAAGTTATGTTTTTTGACGTCACGTTTGGCCTGCCATTTTTTGGCGCCCAACCAATTGTTGACCAACGCAATGACATGTACTGCGATGATTTGAAAGGTATATTAGCAACTCAATGAGGACGCTTTATTGGTTTTGTACCCTATCGATTCACAATGAAAAAAGTACGTGTCGCTATTAATTATGTTCTGGTAGCTCTTGTTAGCATAAATAAAAAAGTCCTTGTGAAAGAGTTCGTCCGGGGAAGTACTGCCACCTTATCCATTTATACCAAGCAGTAATGTGAGCATTACTGCGTTTAAATTTGAAAGAGTGAGGGTGCTGGTAAAATTACAGCGAGCACATACGATTTTTCAACGTAACACAACGTAATGTCTCAAGATAACGGGCGTAGTGTCAGTGTTCTTCAGATCTTTGCGATTTGAAGGTCTGAGCGGCACTGCAATTGTCCGACTATTATGGACAGACGTGACGCTTACCACAAGACGCACGGCTTACTCGTCTCGTCACTTGATATTATGAAAAACAAATGTGCCTTACAAGAAATATTGTACCTACTTTAAATACCTAATTACAAAAACTACTTGTAAATGTTATCAAGACTCCCTTGAATTGTTACAACCTCGTTGTCGGACCCATGATCGCTGCTTCTCTTCATAACGATTGCACAATAATTTAAATTAAGCATTTTTATCAATCGCAATTAAAATAATTTGTTATAACCTTGGCACGGTTTAGACACAAGGTATCAATTTTCCGACATTTCAAGTGTTTCGGGCAAGCCAATTATTGTCAATAAAACTTGTTTGACATTACGACTTCAAGTACATTATGAAAATTTGCAACTACATAAAAACATATTTTATTGAGGATGTATGATACATGTGTTTAATTAGTTAGCTTATAAATATACAAAATTAAATTAGATATCAAATCACAATAGGTACTATTGAGATATCGCATATTATCTCGACATCTCCTTGCGCTCATTGCAGCTGATTTTGTAGAAAAGATTTCGAAGTTACGGTAACCTCGAATGTTTTCTCCAATATTATTTGAATTACATTACACAATTATATGTATATTCTGTATATTTATTTTCCTGTCGCTTTTTTAAAATGATATGTATCTAGATACTTTATTATGTAACAGTGAAGTCAACACAGTGGAAATAAAACATTTCTTCTCAATTTCTAACTATGGTGTAAGTAGTGTAAAAGTGGTATTTATTTCTCAATGCCGTACTGGTAAATAGAAAATCATGAATGTTTCTCCTGCCTGGAAAATAGTCTGTCTAATTATATCGCAGCTGATTTTATACAGCTGAATTTTGACAACTCGCGCTCCGCACTACGCACGCGCGTAAACTCTGCTTCCCGCCGCTGCCTGTGATTGGTCACAGGTTGGCAACTTGCCAAAAGCGCGGGAAAATTTGGGCATGTAAAGGTTCCTATTGGCCAGCCGAAAATGAAACCGAGCACCGCGATATTTAAAAATAGAAATAGAACAAGATTACAAATCACTGGCTGATCTCCCGGAATGCATTGAGAACCGATTATTTATAAAATTTAAATGGACACTATCAGAATGAATGAAATCCTTTTTGCATAAAATAAAATCATTTTTAATGGTTGTTTCTTATGTTTGTTTGAACTTTTGAGAAATTGTTTGACTGCACTCCTATTCCTCAGATATATTTTACTAAGATTTGTTAAAAATTAATTAACCTATCGGTGGTACTAAAGCTAACTTGTAAACCGTGAAGGCTTTGTAACATAAGTATAATCATGAAAATTCACCGTAACACCGCGTTCCAATTTGCACAGCACTGGAACCTACTTACCAGACATTATACCAAAAGGTTAAATTATTTTAATCAATGCACCTTTTAAAAAAAATCACTGTGTTTTTCACGACACTATAGATACACTGATAGAGGTTACTTACATGTCGAGTCGACGCGTGCTGTGGTGCGACTGGCGGCGGTGGCTGGCGCTCTCGCGGTGTCGCCTTACCGCCGCGAAAGGAGATGAGGCCGAGGCACCCCGCTCCGAGAATAAAGTACACTGGTCCAAGGGGTCAGGAGAGCCTACCGAAATTAAAATTTCAAAAATAATGAGGTACCTCTATTTCACCTGCTTTACACAACAAAATTAAACCATAGCGAAATTTTAATACTTGTAACTGAAATCATGATAAATAATCTAAGCATAACCTGCTAATTGAAATGAAGACATTTCGAACGAAAATAAATTGATAAAATCGCATAAGCAGTCGAACTTAGCACTATTTTTACTTTCACTCGAAAAAGCTAGCAAAACACGAAGACATGTAACTACATTGTCATATTTACTTTATCCATCCAGATAATATCACAGATATTAGAGATGAATAGTAACGAACACCTGTTTCTTTTCTTCAGATGATTGTCAAAGTTATTATTTCCTCAATTGTTGAAAGTGTAGGTAACCTTCATTCACGTAGTTAAAACCAATTGTTAACTTTTTTCTTTCTTTTTTGAAGGATATGTCGAAAGATAAGTCGCGCTACCAGAAAAAAATTCATTATTATAAACTAACTGACGAGCCCAAGAGGCGCCCAAGTGGGTACAGATGGAGGATCAGGATGCTATTGGGATTAATATATCTAACTACCTTCTTCTTCTAAACAAACACTTGTATAAATTCATAAAATAAGGTCTGCTGACTCGATCCGTAGCTCAGTTTGTAGAGCGGTGGCCTTGGTTTGGCACAGAGGCAAGTTAGAATCCTATCAGGTCGAGATTATTCTTTGTGCTCGATCTTTGAATTAATAATTATAACAAACTAGTAGAGTAATTTCACAAAAAATAAATTAGTATCATTTTGGTATTCAACAAAAATTAATATTACTACCTTCGTTCTTACATTAGTAAACATCTAAATATCTTATCCGTCTGCTTCATATTATCAACTTTTGGAACTCTAGACACAGAGCTTTTTATTGTATTGAACCTAATACCTTACAACATCACACACAAAACTAATTACTATCTGAAAAGAAAAAAATAGTAAGATTTCTTGTGGTCATTATTACAAATTCTTTTCGCAGTATTATTTACCTGTTTTGTGAATGATGAAGATAATATTATGCAGACAAGAATAAAGCAAGAATATTATGCTCTGAAATGCCGACTTTTTTGCTAAATTCATCTTTTTTTTATAATATCAAGTGACGGGACGAACAAGTCGCCTGATGGTAAGCTACACGCCTGTCCGTAACAGTTGTAGTGCCACTCAGAGCTTTAAATCGCAAAGATCTGAGGGGCACCGGCACTGCGTCTGTCACCCTGAGACATAAGTTGACAAGTCCCGAACCCTTCGAAAGCGGAACACAGTAATACTGACATTACTGCTTGGCGGTAAGGTGGCAATATAGGAATAGATAAGGTGGCAGTACTTTCCTGGACGATCTCTTTCACAAGAAGCTCTACTGCTACTAATATTCATTACAGTTAAAAATCAACAAGTCTAATTACAGTAAAAAAATTTTGAAACACAATATGATTCATTTTTATTTAAAGAATTTTCTAACTACTTAAGTAAACTAAAGTACTCGATATGACGAAGTTTGAAGGAGAAAAATACTTTATTTCGAAATGACATTCCGACGTGCGAGTGAATCACCCCCCGTATGTGCAAGAACAACGTGTCGTAATAAAATAAACAGGCACAGATGGTTTAAGCCATACTGAATCGAGCTCAAAGTTAAAAACTATTGATAATGTAAATATTTTTTTAAGCCGAGCAGCCACAATCTTAGTTACGCTTTTGTCTAGCAAATGCCTAATAACACTAGACTGGAATATCCCTGAATTACAACTTTCGGGAAACACGGATATTCTATTCCTTGATGATTCCATGCATTCTATTCCCTTTGGCGTAGATATATTTTTATAAATAATAGACACATGCTTGGCTACAATCTCACCTGATGTTAAGCGACGATGTGACCGATGATAGTACGCGTTAGCCTAAAAATGCTAATCACTCTAGCCTTGAATAGCCCCAAATTTTTTTTTTTCGGAAAACACTCGTTAGTGTATTCCATTCATTCGCGCTTCTGGTAGATGGGTAGAGATGGACGTTAAACGAAAAGGACTTAAATAAGTTTGCTTCATAATATAAGCACAAAAGCACGCTTATAATTTTAAGTTGTAGGCGATGCTCAGTTCAATACTCAACAATTTCGTTTTTTACGACATGCCTAATAAGTGTCTAGTCCCGCCATCTATGTTTCCTAGCTAAATTGATTCCTGAATGTGAATAATACTTGATTACAAGTATAATATCATTGATAATACTAATGTTATAAATAAAAGTTAAACTGGTGTCTTAAAAGTAAACTTAATTATTTGATAACCTATTCTCGCTTTTCGCTGTTATGTCACCAGTTAACATAAAACATAAGTTAACATAAAATCTACAAAATAAAACGTTTTTCCTAACGGTTTTGGAAGCTCCAGTCATATATTATATTAAGCATTTTTCCATCTCTAGATTGTAAGCCAATGACATAACGATGGAGTTTTCCGAATTTTTTGAGATTAAATATAAATATTTTTGTAATTAGTCTTCTACTGCAGCTAAAATGAAGTTAGGTTTACCATTATCATCACACTTACTGTAGCAGTAGAGCTCCTTATGAAAGAATTTGCCCAGGGAAGTACTGCCACCTTACCTATTTCTGCCACCAAACAGTAATGTGAGTTTTACTGCGTTCCGGTTTTGAAGGGTAAGGGTGCTGGTGAAATTACAGGCACATGAGACTTTCAACTGAAGGTAGTGCCCTTCAGATCTTTGCGATGTAAAATTCTGAGTGGCACTGCAGCTGTTATGGCTAGGCGTGTAGCTTACCATCAAGCGAACGGCTTGTTCGCCACGTCACTTGATATTATAAAAAAAAACTTGACAAGTTGATAGACGATCGCACGGGGTAAGATTTTAGACAACCTTCTTATCGTATCGATGGCATGCGTTGTCATGCTTCTCATCGTAGTGAAAGCTACTATGGTTGTCCTGGGAGCGCCAGAGACGTACAGGAAAGGAGTACGTCTTGCAGGGGGACTCCTTTCGTATACCGACACCATTTTTTGCAATATCAACCGTTGCTTAATGAAGTAAAAAGAATTTATCGATTTCATAGTTATTGCGTGTTTGTAACACATTGTAAATGAAAACTGTGAGATTGTGACGCTATCAAACAGTTAATATTAGACATAACTGGTTGATGACTTTACTATCTCAGTCAGCAGTGACGATGTGCATCAGTGACCTGTAAACGATCCGAAATGTTTGCTTGATTGAAAAAACAAATACCTATACGCCTATTTAGATCCGAAAGGTAATAGTTTCATTTCTAAAGGTAATTTTTCATTTTGCATTTTGATGTAATCTGATACACAGGAAGACTGCCCTCCGTCTCATTAATTTATCTATTATGAAATCTAGAATTGTTATTTGAGACTTCTGTTAAACAATATCATATACCAAAGTGATATGAGGAATTTAGACGGGTTCAAAAAGTTGCTTCAATTGCAATTTTGATAGCGATGGTTTCCTATAATTTGACAGCTATGATACAGTACATGATTCAATAATACATGTTTCAATAATGAATCAGTGGTGGTATAGGTTCTTCGTAAGAGGTAAGCATTCTCCCAACTAGGGTGTCAAAAGATAAATACCTATTATAAACTCTGATTTCTCCAAAATCGATGTGTCGTTTGTCCACAAACAAAGTCATAAAAAAAAATTAGGAAACAATAGGAAACTAAACGGTTGTCGTAAACGAGTTAAAAAAAAGCTAAATTAGCTACAAATTGATTAGGTACCTATAGTCTGTCTTTTTTGAAGACGGAGTAAAATTACAGTGCAAAATTGTTGCCCGCTTACGAGCAGCCAGTGATTGTAGTCGATAAATATTCTGTCGACTATGGACTGAATATTGATCACGCTTATAGAATAAATAACCGATTTTGTTTCATTTAAATCATCCTCGACCCATTATTCATTCAACTACTGAGCACAAGTTCATTTGAATTGTCTTTTTTCGTAAGTTTATATCTATATGCACTGTATTGTGAACTATGTTTATGAAAAATAAAAAGGAGACATCATCATCTTCTTTCAAAATCTATCGATAAAACTGTCGTCAACAACTACATAACTATATACAATTTTACGAAAACTAGCAACCCTTCAAATGTCATTTTACTCCGTCTTCAAAAAAGACGGACTATACTTGTCTAACTGAGTCGCATTACATATAGTAAAACTGTGAAATGTGTAGTTGTTATTCAATAAGCGATTTCAGTTTATATTTTTTGCAGCTGTATCAATATGAAACTATTGCATTAATTTCAATATTAATTAGCTTCACTCACAATCATGCTTCAACAAAAATGTTCAAAACGAGGTTTTTTTTTATATTAAATTTATGTTCTTGAAGATAATTCAATTTACAATAACATTTTTCTTACAGAAATAACTAGAATAAAACCAAGATTAATCTATTAAATCTTTCAACTTACATTGAACAAGGCTGTAACATACATATTTACTTAAAGCTCACGCTCTTGTTCAACAAGAGTAGTAGGCAGAGACTATAAAGAACGCCATCTTACTTTATCCTGACACAACTTATAGGCTCGCATTAGTGCGCCCAGATCCACTTCCACCTCCTTGTGAGTATAGTGTTCTGTGCCCAGATCACAGTGTGGCGTGTAGTCGGCGTCTGACTGAGGCGTCACTGCGCTCAAGTAACGCGCGTCGACACGCGTCGACGCGCGACTCCATATTTGCAAAACACAAAAAATAGAGATGAATATGCTGTAGGCGAAAAACATGACGCGTCGCGACGCTTCGACTCTGCGCCAGTGTGAGTTGAGCCCTAGCCTCACACATATCATCTACCCTTTTCGTACAACTTCTTTTATTCTTGTCACTTGGATGTATCCTCCGTGTGAGTATAGTGTTCTGTGGCTGTATCAGTATGTACATAAGTATAATAAATTAACGCATATGTGATGTAGCCTGATAACAT